GTGTAAAATTTAAACCCTAACCACTCATTTGTCAACCCAAACCGATATCTAATTTCGTTTTAAATAAAATCTAAACCCTAACCACTCATTTGGCAACCCAAACCGACATCTAATTTCGTTTTAATTGTAAAATCTAAACCCTAAACCCTAAATCTATTTTGTGATTTCCTTTTTTTAATTATGTTTCTTTTTTTTTAATTTTCTAGTATTAATAATGACATGATAAAACGATTGGCTATAATCTATTGGGTGAATTTAAAGGTTCACCCCAGGGGTAAACCTAAGTATGGTTCTAAAAACATGATGTCAAACGGCGATGATCGACGCAAAGATAACCAAAACGATTGGCATGCTAATTTTTTAATCAGCTGTTTACTAAAATCAGTTATAAACTCGAAGAGTACCATCATGCCATGCGGAAAGTTGAAGGTAACTAGCAGTTGGTTAATTAGTCGTCGGGAAGCCCATCCCAATTGCTACAACATAACACTTTAGTTACCAATAAACGATTCCATCGAATGAACCTGTCATAAAAATTATCAAAAACGTTCTACACATTATCGATAGATTGAAGATTTGTTGATAATCGATTAGTGATTCTTTTTCTTTTCTTTTGATAAAGATCGACTAGTAATTCTTTAGAAAAATATATTGACAAATAACTCATATTGATGAACCACTGCTGCTGTCAGAAAATATTGTTGGTAAGTCACATGATAATTACTAATAACATGTATCCATCACCCATTGGTGATTACTGCTGAAATCGTAAACATGACCAAATTAATTATTATATGTGGATGAGTTCAACTTACTTTTTTGAATGATTACGTCTTCAACTTGCTTACTTGATATTCTAACCGATTTACCTCTAGCTTACACATCATTCGTTGATAATGCATGTGACGTGATCTATATAAGCTTAGACACAAATAACAAGAATTTATTCAAATTTGAATCTATTAAGAAACCAATAATTTCTTCAAACGTTAGATATTCGATCTTGTAATTTCAAACCAATGAAGCTTCTATTTGTTTGTTTGTTTTAATTATTGCACCTTCAGCAATAATGACCTTATACCAACTAACCAACCAGAGCCAGATCAACCAATTCTAGGACCTATTATAATTTTCCCAAAATAACAATATTTGTGTTTTTTCTTCTGTAATAGAATTTTTTCAGAAAAATGTGAGAATCCCATTGTATTGTTTTATGTTAATGTGCTCAACCAACCCCATATGTAACCCACTAGATTATAAATCGATAATTGATGTGTCGAAGGAAGGACCGTAGGAAATATAGAAGGTTCTTTCTTATTTGCTCATAAATACAGAACATTTATACACAATCGTCATACGGCTTAACCTAAGTATCTTTACATATATTAAACTAAACCCAATAGGCCCAATATACCCCAATATTTATATATATGACTAAATATAGATTAGTAGTATGTATTTTACTACTTTTCATTCAAATCATATATATTTATTTTCATTAAAAATAATATCTATGATTATTTTATTAATTAAATGATTAGGATCTTCAGTCATAAATTTGCATTGTTTCCAATTACTGTATAAAAAAGTTAAGAGTACCAGAGATTGAGATTCAAATAATTAATGTACAAAATTAATTGTATTCAAGTCAAATACAAAATATAAAAAAATGTTTGACTAGTGTGCATTTCTAGTATAAATAATTATTTAATATTCCTAAAAGGGATTAATTATGATAATGATTAAATGATTAGGATATTGTTTCCCTTGTTAAAAAGATTGCAATTAAAACAAAAGTTAAAAAAAAATAATTATATACATATTTCCTTCATAACACACACATACACACACACATATATATACACACACACACACACACAAAATTCATAGGTCAAACAATAAACATCATTTTAAAATTCCAAATCTAACGAACAAAGTTTGTAAAAGAATGACGCAAAGATTGTGTATGATGATGATGATGATGACATTGATAATGTCAGGATGTCATCTAAAATCATGCAATGGAGTGGAAAGCTTGTCAAAGGAAGACCATCACTCATCAACATCTACCTCACCGTACGTATGTTACACTCACATTCAAACTAATTTCAAACCAAATGTGTGTCAATATATATGTATATATATGTTTATGTTAACATATACTATTTATTCATGATTTCTGGATTTATGCAGGAAGGAAATAGTAATTAATCAACCTCCTCAAATAGTTCCAAACCCTATATGCATAAGGAATTGTCGCGTCAAATGTGGCAGTAACGTAGATTGTGCAAGAAAGTGCCTAATTAATTGTTGATGCTCAGATCTCAAATCATTATGTTCTATCTCGATGTGTAAAGGAGATTTATAACTCCTTTCAATAAATAAAAATTAAAGACTAATAAAATATATTTAATTATTTAAACAAATCTACTAAACAAATTCTATGCAAATATTTTATTAAGATTTACGAACTCGGTCCAATAAGTTATTAGATAAGTTTACAAGTTAGGCCCATTTAAGTTGTCCACAGCCCAATAATAATTTCCAAATCGTCGGTTCATACACCTCCGCGACTCGGTTCCCCAATCTCAAATTCCCAAATGTTTCACTGAGTCGACTCGACCTCCTCATATCCCAAAAGTGAGATCTTCTTCTTCTTTTTTATCCGTGATTACAAAGTTTTAATCTTGCAATAGCTTCTCGTTCAGTTTTCGCTACAGATTTTGTTCGAATTTGAAATTTATGGATTTTGGGTTCAAGAATCTCGGTTTTGCTCTTTACTTGATTATGAACATCTCGACGGAGTAACTAATTTGTGTTCGAATTGGTTTGTTTAGAGTAGAAATGTAGTTTTTGTCGATGATACTGGATCTAGGGTGGTTTTGGAACTGATGTTGTAAACCATGTCTTGTCTGTCTTAAAACAAGATGTGTATCATATTTTCATGTAAATCGATTATGAAGAAGAGCTTGTAGTTGTATCTAGATGTTGACACAATGTCATAGTTCTTGTTTTGTCTGATTTCATTGATCATTATATCTCTCTTATGATCTAAGACTGATTTTGGTTTTTTTTAGAATTTCTTGTTTGGGTTTTAAAGGCAAAACGAGATTACAATGGCACCATCACGTAACATAGTTGTAGCCACCGGTCTGGTTGTTTTCGCATCTGCAGGCTTAGTATTCCCCTTTTACATGGCGTAAGAATCCTCTTTTCTCTCTCAAATGTTAAATCTTGTCTGATCTTGTGGTATGTATGACATTTTGCATTTTCCTCTTGACTCCTTTTGTTGCAGATCGTCGAAACAGCCAGTGATCGATCCAACAAAACCGTTACCTCCTCAAGCAACGTTTAGAGGACCTTACATAAACACTGGTTCACGCGATGTTGGACCTGACCATCGAACTTACCCAAAGAAATGATCCAATCAAGTCAAGATAATCAAGCAGGTGTTTTCATTGTGACCTCTATACATTCATATAGACAATATCGTTTTGAAGTTTGTGCTCGAATCCATGTAACTCGTTATGCTTCATGTAAACTATCAGAAATTATTTTTATAAACACCAGTCCAACCTAACCATTGAATGAAACTGAAGAATCGGATTTAATAAACAGCTTAAGAACTTGTTTTGTATTGTCATAAAAGTTCTGAAAGATGTATTATCGAAAGCACAAAAAATTTGGTTCAGATACAAATGAAAATTTGCAACCTTCTGATTTTGTTAGTGACCCATAAATTCTCAACTTTTCGCCAAGTTTCAACATTCCTCTCAACCCAAAACAGCTATCAAAGTTTAGAAATTTATGCAATGAGAATCATAAAGTTTCGATTTTTTTTTAGATTACTATATAAATTGACAGATTTAAGAAGTAGAATATTGAAATTGCAAAAGAACACTGATAAATCAAGGAGAATTTCATAACCGTGCCATAGTTAAAAACCCTAAATCCCAAATTACATAATCATCAAGATACCCAATAGCATAAACTCTATTTCACATTCCAACTACTACTACTACTTCACCTCCATTACAAAACACATTCCAAATCTAAGTACTCGTAAACTTCGTAACCGCCTTAGTCCCTTCAGAAACAGCATGTTTCGCCAACTCACCAGGCAACACAAGTCTCACCGCCGTCTGAATCTCCCTAGAAGTAATCGTCGGCTTCTTGTTGTACCTCGCAAGCTTCGAAGACTCACCAGCAAGCTTCTCAAAGATATCGTTGATGAAACTGTTCATGATTCCCATGGCTTTGCTTGAGATTCCGATATCTGGGTGGACTTGCTTCAACACCTTGAAGATGTAGATCTTGTATGTCTCGACGTTCTTCTTTGATCTCTTCTTCTTCTTGTCTCCGGCGACTGCTGGTTCCCTTGGGAGCTTTTTGCCGGCTTTTGGTTTCTTCTCTGCCGCCGCTGCGGGTTCGGCTGCCGGAGTTTTCTCTGCCGGTTTCTTCTCCGCTGGTTTCTTGTCTGCCTTCGCCATTTTCAAATGCTTAAACTTTTCAAGAGAGTGAGAATTTGTTGTGTTGGTTTTTGATTTGATTCTTCATTCTTCGAGACTCGTGTGTTTATTTATATAGGAGTATAGGAAGAGATCTGATTGGTTGAGATACTGAGACGCGGATTGATGACGTGGTGATATGAAGGTTGTTCGATGAGGGGTTTTGGTGAATGAATGGTTCAGATCTATTTTTGACTTTAATGCGCGAGTGATTTTTTAAGTGATTTTCCAAATATGAAATATCGAAAATTCGAAAATTTTCAGTTGCGCTTTTTGTTATCCGCCATAAGTTCGTTCATGAGGCGGCAAAAGAGCGAAATAGTTTTTGGCGTGGATAGCTGACGTGGCTATGTTTGATCCGCCCAATAATGCACGGCTACGATTACGTCTTTGCTATTTAACATGATGGAAATGAAAAATTAATGCATAATTTAAACCCTTTTCAAAAAAGAAAAAGAAAATTCTTTTAAAATGACCAGCTTTTTAGTTATTTTTATTGATATATTATACACAATTTTAAAATTTTGTATAAAGAACAAAAATAAACATTAAGCTCAGCTTGATACTAAGCTATATTTGATATATGAATCGAACATAATTTTGTAGTTGAGGTATGAAAAATTATTTTTCCCGCATTTGTACGTTTATTTTTTTTTTACCATTACATAAATGTTCAAATACACCGCTTTAAGCACTATTTTTAACAGAGTTAACGATATGTTTCTAATTTTCTAGCATCTGTTAATATTGACGATGTAAATTAAATACACACAAAAACTGGAAGAAATGATTTTTCATTTCTATTTTTAGTATTACAAAATGTTTTATAGCTAAATAGTTCGTGATTATGGGGTTTTTTCTTAAAAATCATGGTAGATTAGTTGTTCATTAATATTGAGAAGTGGGAGAAGTGTTAAACATAAATTGTGATTCTCACTGATTCCACATATTTTTGTGATTAGTGAAAATCTATTAATTATACCCATCATCAGAACCAAAAATCATTTGTAACATTAACGTTAATGCACAAGTCGGGGACGCTGTGATACAACTTTGTATAGTATCTTTGTGTCATTAATTTAGAAACTCGTGAAAGAAGACAAAAAAAAAAAAGAGAGAGAGAAAGTTGAATGCACAAGTCATTTCTTTGAGATACGTCCATGAAATCTCTTTCGAACTAGAATTCCTATAATCTTACTTTAGTGTGATTGTTGTTGGCGGCTGGGACGACCCATGTGCCGGTACGTGGCCCAAGAACAAAGAAACGTGGCTCATAAGCTTGTCTTTCCTAGAAAATTTAGTCCCACAAGAGCAAACCCACTTTATATCCCCACAATGCTTCTCGTGCGTCCTAAGATCAGACAGAACCGAGAAATGCTTCACACTACATCTCCTGCACATATACATTTTAGGACAATGACTCCTCTTGTAATGATTCTTGGCACAAATCACAGATTTCAACGGTTGGAACTTCTCGTGTCTCTGGTTCCATCTACACCCTTGATGAGGGCACGAGTAGTAATGTTTCTTCAACGTGTATTCTCCTTTCTTTTCTTGGCTCGTTGGGCTGATCAATGCCTCGCGTGTCTTGTACTCATCCCCGTGCGCTCTCATGTGCATCCTTAGATTCGCGTCTCTCTTAAACCCTTTCCCACAAATCTGGCAGTAATGCGTGTATTTCGCTAGTAGGTCCGCTACGTCTAGCTCCAATATCTCGTAGTTCCCGGGTTTTGGTTTAGAACGATGTTTATCTTTTTTAGGATTTAGGGTTTCTGTGTCATACCAGTCATGATTCTGGTTAGGAAACGAGACATGTCCTCTTTCTTGGACACCAAAAAGGTTGGTCGACTCTTGCACAAAATCATGACCCGGGTCGGTTTCTTGTCGGGAAAACTCCAAAACCATTGCATCTACGGTGTGATCGTTATCGATATCGTTGCTGTTGTTAGATCCGATGTGGAGTTGTTGGCAAGTGTACAACATGGATGAAGCAGCCGTAATGATCTCTTGAACCAAACTTCCGATGTTAGCCACGGCCAAAGACGTTGACCCCGAGTATTGATTAATGTTATTACTAGATATCATGTAGAAGCTGACCAGAGATTGGATCTGATGGACTTTGTCTTGTAAGGTAGACAGATTATATAGAAGGGAGAGTGAAACGTCGTCTTCTTCCAATGATTTTGCCCCGGCCGCGGTCACGGGATTAAGGGAGATTTGTTTTGAGGAAGTACTGGTCGTCCCGGAGAAGCTAGACATTGATCCTTCTCCTTTATTTGTAATATGCTCATCTCGATTCATCGTATGTATATGAAGACTCTAGCCTGAGTTTTGTTCTTAAATTTTCTTTTGATTTTGTTGACTCTTTAAATTCTTTATGGTATATTTGTTTCATATATATGCCAGACGGTCCAGACTCTAGAGAGATGCATTGAAGAAGACACCCTACCCTCTACCGTATAAAATAGAGATCTATAAACACACAAAATAACACACGCACACAAACAAATACGTGTGACATATACTAATATTCCTTCGTTTCCAAAACCACTTTTGAAGTTAATTTTTGTATAGATAGAAACAATTTTAGTTTTTTACGAAGCGTTTATTGTAAAACAGTTTTTTTGGTAACTACTCCCTCCGTTTCATTTTAGTTGTCGTTTAAGGTTTTCTCACACAAATTAAGAAAATCATTAAATTTTATGTTTTACCCTTTATTAATATATTTTATAAAAAAATTCATTGGCCGAAACATTAAAATAGTAGGGATAAAACTGGAATTTTTACCAAACATTTGCATCGAAAACCTAAAACGACAACTATTATGAAACAAAATTTTAATTCTAAAACGACAAGTAAAACGAAACGGAGGGAGTACAATTTTACATTTATTAAAAGAAAGATTATACTTCCACCTTATCACTTCTATTAAGTGATGTTTTAGCCAAAAAAAATTTGTTTCATTTTAAGTGATGTTTTTAATTTTCTATGTAAAAATTTATATTTAATTTTGTTTACTAATCATATTTTATAATATATTTTTTTATTGGTTGAATTCATTTTATTTAATGATGTTTTTATGTAAATAATGTAAATTAAATGAAAATGATTTGTTATCTTAATTTGTGTAAAAACCTTAAACATCACTTAAAATGATATTGAAGAAGTACTAAAATTCCGTGAAATTTTTAAAAATAAGCTATTGAACCTAACGATATTTTGAACCTTGCAGTTTATTAGTGATTTAAAAATCGAATAGACGGTCAACTAATATTAAATTTTATTTAAATTGACATCTAGACGTCTTTATAAATCCCAATATTTTTTAATACCTAGCTAACGATATTTAAAATTATGAGTTTATGGAAAATATATATAACATAATACAAATATGCAATATAAAGTTGTCTTTTTACAAAAGTAATATGCAATATAAGGATTTTGATTAACTCGGATGCTGGCAAGAGACAACGCTAGAAAAGTTCATATTAGACTAAGTTTTTGTCGTCATGAATGATGTTTTTCTTCTCTTTAAATGCATTTGTCATGTATATGAATTCTTTACATTGGGTTGAAAATGGAATAATAGAAGTATGTGATGTGATTAGGACTAACTCGGAAGTCAACTAGAGAGAGCAAAAAGGACCATCCCCACATAAATCCTCCCCCGCATATTACCTTAACAAGACTTTGTCAGCTACTTCTTAAAATAAACGAAGAAGGTCAATCCCGATGTAATTAAATAGTGATTAACCTAAGTCAAGTGTTAGTGTTCTTTCATGGCCTTTTCTTCATGTATTCTTTGGATATACAATACAATCATATAACTGTCAAGTGTCAAGCTCACATAATATCTTATGTCACATCTATATCCAAAACTTAAAAAAAAAACAAATTGCGACTACATTCAGTTCTTATCTGCTTACATGCACAAAAATTGTATACGCGTGCATATATGATTGGATCTTACATGGAAATGTCTATAATGTGGCCATTGGCATGAGTTGCAATTATGTTAAATAATTTTTGCTAATGCGTGTTCATTTTTTAATTTCGAAAGAAGTAGTTTTATTGATGACAAATCAAAATTTCTATGAAGTGTGATTATATGGTGATCAATGCTGTTTTTGGGATTAGCTTTACATTATTTTTTGGCTTTTAGAATGTAACGTTAATTAACGCTTTTTAAAAAATTAGTTGCTGCTAGCCTGCTACCATTACAGCGACAGTGTATTTCACGTGCCAACAAGCTTCTGTTTGAATGATTCTAGTAGAATTTTATTGTTTCCATTGAAAATCGATAAACTGTAATGCAACTAACCTACGTAGCTCTCTTAATTTTCTCCGGCTTCTATTTTTTTAAAATCAACTACTTTAATTTTCAAGTTTCCAACATGTAACAAAAAAATGCAAGGAAAAAAAAATAAAGTAAGCAAGACCTTGTGTGGCTGGGGGTTCGAACTCCACTTTCCCTATTATTAATTTGTCAAATAAAAAGAAAATGGAAAAAAGAAATCACAAATGAATGTTGGATAATTATGCTTGCCACCCAAGATAACTAGTTTTGCTTGGCAAATTCAAATTCCTCCAATCTAATCACCGGGACAGGAGCAAGAACACGAGATCAAAGATGATTACTCGTCGTCATAATCTGAAATGCCATCGGAATCACCGGAGAAAATAGCAGTGGCACATGCATGGTTTGGCCGTAGGTTGGTTTCTAGTTTCCTTCTTCACCTTTGGCATTTGTCTGTTGTAGTTTGCTCAATCAATTACCCGTAAATTAGCAGAATTAAGTTGTAACCTGTAAAAACTAACAAAAATCAGACAATCCTTTAAATAAAAATATATTTATGTCGCCGGCGAAACCTGTTTCTTGTTGGTTACTTTTGCCCATTCATTATTTACTATTATTAGGGTTTTAAAACCCAGATGATCACTTGTTCCTTAGATTCTGTTACCTAAACAGTAAAAGAAGAATAAATTCATATAAAAGAATCAAATCTTTGTAATCCATCTCCGATCACATTGCTCCTGGAATCTTTTTTTTGATCTGTTTCATTGAGGGTTTGTCATCAATGGAGGAGTTTGGAGATAATAAGATGCTTTACTTGAGAGACACATGGAGACAAGGAACCATGATCTGTGACGTCTTACCTATCAACCCTAGCTCCAATGGTGTTTGGCCGGAACCAAAATTCTCAGATCCTAACATTAATGTTCATTTCTGGAATTACACGTTTCCACACTTGCAAATGATATTTCTCATCATCTCTTTCCTCTGGCAATTCTTGCATTTCTTCCTCCGACGTCTCGGCATGATCCGTTTCACTTCTCATATGCTTGTAAGTATTCGAAAATCTCGAAAACGATTTTCTTTTCTTGTTGTCTGGATTTGAAATCTGAGGTTTGTGTTGATCTTTTTTTTGTAGACTGGTGTTCTTTTAAGCAAGTCTTTTCTAAAGGAGAATTCAGCGGCCAGAAGATTCTTTTCTACAGAGGATTACAAAGAGATTGTGTTTAGTCTCACTGCTGCTTGTTCTTACATGATGTTCTGGTTCTTGATGGGAGTTAAAATGGACATGGGTTTGATCCGAACCACGGGAAGAAAAGCCATTACCATAGGGATCTCCTCTGTTTTACTTTCGACGTTAGTTTGTTCCGTTATCTTCTTCGGAAACTTGAGGGACGTTGGAACCAAGAACTCGGATCATACTCTCAATTCATTGGAGACTGTTGTGATTTACTCGATTCAATGTCTTTCGTCTTTCCCCGTTGTTGGAAACCTTCTTTTTGAGCTCAGGCTACAGAACTCAGAGCTTGGTCGTTTAGCGATGTCTTCTGCTGTGATAAGTGATTTCAGCACCTCGGTTCTCGCTTCTGCTCTCATCTTTATGAAGGAGCTTAAGGACGAACAAACACGGCTCGGGAGCGTGTTTATAGGTGATGTTATTGCTGGGAATCGTCCTTTGAAGCGAGCAGCGATAGTGGTTCTCTTTGTTTGTCTTGCCATCTATGTTTTCAGACCTTTAATGTTCTACATTGTTAAACAAACGCCTTCCGGTCGTCCCGTTAAGGCAATCTACTTAACTACAATCATTGTTATGGTCTCTGGATCAGCCATTCTTGCGAATTGGTGCAAGCAATCTATTTTCATGGGACCTTTCATCTTAGGTCTTGCAGTTCCTCATGGTCCTCCTTTAGGTTCTGCAATCATTCAGAAGTACGAGTCCGCTATATTCGGAACTTTTATTCCGTTTTTCGTTGCTTCATCTTCCACGGAGATTGACATTTCGGCTTTATTTGATTGGGAAGATCTCAGTGGCATTATTCTCATCATGATAACATCTTTCGTTGTCAAATTCATCTTGACTACTGTTGCTGCTTTGTTCTATCGTATGCCGATGGAAGACTGCTTCGCTATATCTCTTATCATGTCTTTTAAAGGCATCTTCGAGCTCGGTGCCTATGCCTTGGCCTACCAAAGAGGGGTATGTATACACACATAATGACTTCAAACTCATAATCATTCTATACAAAACTCTATCGCATGTTAATGCTTTGAACATTGCAGTCTGTCCGTCCAGAGACCTTCACTGTCGCGTGTCTTTACATAATGTTGAATTCCGCAATCATTCCTCCGATCTTGCGGTACTTATACGATCCTTCGAGGATGTACGCGGGGTACGAGAAGCGGAATATGCAGCACCTGAAACAAAACTCTGAGCTAAGGATTCTGTCTTGCATTTACAGAACCGAAGATATAAGTCCAACGATCAATCTTCTCGAAGCTACTTGTCCGTCCCGGGAATCTCCTGTAGCATCCTACGTCCTCCACTTGATGGAGCTGGTAGGACAAGCCAATCCGATTTTCATTTCTCACAAATTGCAAACTCGCAGAACAGAGGAGACGTCTTATTCAAACAATGTACTTGTCTCCTTTGAAAAATTCCACAAAGATTTTTATGGCTCGGTCTTCGTAAGTATCTACACGGCCTTATCTATGCCTGATACAATGCACGGAGACATCTGTATGCTTGCTCTTAACAACACTACTTCCCTCATACTCCTTCCTTTTCACCAAACTTGGTCTGCTGACGGATCCGCTCTCATCTCAAACAGCAACATGATCAGGAACCTTAACAAGAGCGTTCTCGACGTGGCACCGTGTTCTGTCGGAATCTTTGTATACCGAAGCAGTTCCGGACGGAGAACCATCAATGACACCGTTTCAAACTTATCATCTTACAATATATGTATGATCTTCCTAGGCGGTAAAGACGATAGAGAAGCAGTGACACTTGCAACACGAATGGCCCGTGACCCGAGAATCAACATAACTGTTGTCCGAATGATCACTACCGATGAGAAAGCACGAGAAAACTCAGAGTGGGATAAAATGCTTGACGATGAAATACTTAGAGAAGTGAAGAGCAATACATTAGTAGACATTTTCTACTCGGAGAAAGCGGTTGAAGACGCGTCTGAGACATCGGGTTTGCTGAAATCGATGGTAAGCGATTTCGATATGTTCATAGTGGGAAGAGGGAAAGGAAGGAAGAGTGTGTTCACAGATGGGCTTGAGGAATGGAGTGAGTTTAAGGAGCTTGGTATTATTGGGGACTTATTGACTTCACAGGATTTTAATTGCCAAGCTTCTGTTTTGGTTATACAACAACAACAGCTAATGATTTAGGTTCTTATGTAAACAATCATTTTGCAATTTTACCCTTTCATTATAGTCTTAGATATTTAATTGTAAGAAAAAGTATTCTTTTGTAAATTTTTGCTTAGTCCATTCAAATGTAACTTTTTGGAAAACTCACTTAATTAGCTCTGTTATATATGTAATCGCATAAAGTTTGGCCCAACAACCATATTAATCTTAAGAGAGGGACTTATAGAAAATCAGGTTTTTTACCACTTAAAATGTGTAAGACTAACATATATTTATTTAATATAGGAAATCTAATGATGTAAATACAAGACATTTCACTTATTTTCAATATGTTTCACTACTGGAATCTTTGTTCTATTTGAGCTCGGGTGAAAAATGGAGATATATTACTTTTGAATTTTTTATTACATAACCTGTATTTAGAAATCATTGGATATGATTCATTGGTATGGTATTAGAACTACACATTACTCGTATTCTTTTCATTAAAGCTCGGTGAATATTGCAAATTTGTTTGTTAGCAGTAGGTGTTTGCTTCAACAAAGCGTCAAGATTTAGATATTGGAAATAATTCTGTGCAAACATAATTTTGATAAATAACTGGGCAGAGTAGTACGAAATGGATTGTTTGATATATACTATTTTAGGAATCATGCATGAGTTTCCAATTCAAAAACAGTTTTGTAATGTATGGGATTAACCAATGTTTTTTAGATAAATTATATCAAATCTATCTCAACGTCAAATGTAAGAAATTCTAACATTTACCCATGATTTGAGTATAATTTAAATTTTGTGTTGAGATCATTGACATATGTTACACTCATTCATGTTGTTGCTGTTGTTGAACTACTAAAACAGAAACCCTAGTTTTTAAATCTTTGGATGCAAGCAAATCTCCAATGACTCCTAACTCCGGAAGCTCCATCCACTGTGCCAATCCTGTGACATCCAACGAATAATCTTCGTGATCTCTTCCTACAATCATCAAATCATTGTCTCCCGCCACCAATCTAACGGTGGTGGCCACCGCAGGTCCACCGTTGACTATCTTCTCCATATAGTTAAAATTGTTGGCGAGTGAATATGTTGCTTTCAAATCATTCAAGACCTCGTCATCAACAAGGTAATCCCAATTCTTGGACTTATCTAGTTCTTGACCAGACAAAAATCTGATCACAGTAAGACATACTCTCGAGTTCTGTCCCATCCATTTCGCAAGCGAGAGCGCCTCGCGATCATCTTTACCACCAATGAAGATCACACCAACGTTAATGGTACTATTTTTCCTTTTCTTACCTTTACTATATCCTCGGTAATTGAGTACGCCGATAGAACATGGAGCGCGGTCGAGGAGAGAATCATTCACTTGTCTGATCATAATATCGTCTGATTCATATACTCCATCGGGTGACCATTTTCGCCCCGAAGGGACTATGATCATCGATGTAAGGTGGTCTAAAGCAAGATTGCAAATGTCTTGATCCATTAGATCCTCACGAGAATAAGCTGTGAAGGAACTAACAGTCGTATATTCCCAATTCTCTTGTTGAAACTCGGTGAACGCGAGCATCATTGTTTGGATGTAAGAGTTTTGAAGCAACCGCGCTTTAGACCGCTTGTCATGCGGTATCAAGATGGGAAACGTACGTCCGGCAAGCTTCACTAGGTGTAACGCTGTGACAGCAATGACTCCTCTGTCTTTGTTATCGTTGTTTAGGGGCGAGGAAAGCAATTGAAGCAGCGAAATTGCGCCTGAAATGTTGTCCGGTTTATGCAAACAAGTTAGAATCTTGAGATCTGAGTTTGTTTTCAGATGCATAATGTCTCTCTTGACGTATCCAATATACTTCCTCTTTGGATCATATAGTGCTTTCACAATAGTAGGCAAAATCCCCGCGTTCAATAGCACGTAAATAATCATGACCGTGTACGTTGCTCGCGACAAATTCTGTGATAAAAATATTCATGCACCCATTAGTTCTAAACCATGATGCAATCTATATATATACATGTAGAGTGGGTTAGATAAAGATTATTATACCCTTCTTTTTAAGGCGACATCGAAGAAGCATAAGTCGACAAAACCCTTATAGTTCATGATAGTGGCGATGATAACGGATTCTCTAGTAGGTAACTCGCAGAAAATCAAGCAAGGTACAAAAGAAGCAGTCCATTTAACGACCACTGTAAGACCCAGCAGAAATATGTTTAAGGAGATGTCATCGAACGAATACAATGCCCTTACAACGTCACCTTTCATCGTCATGAGCGCGATTGAAATAGGGAAAAATATGTTTGTAATCAAGCTCTCGAACCTTGCCTCTAACGCAGATCCCAGAGGCGGACCGTCTGGGATCGCCAACCCCACCAATAAAGGTCCTAGAACGTACATTTGGTTGAAAACACTTGTGTAAATACTCGCGAAGATTGCGGTCAGGATTGTTACGTATAAGTAGATTTTCCGGACGGGCTTGCCTTCTGGGGTCATGTCGACTATTCGTTGTGCCATTGGCTTTACGATGAATATGATCACAAGGACTAAGATGATCAATGCCACTATGTCGCGGTTGGCTATTCTGGGTGAAGCGTACCTGCAGCATACCGTTTCAAACTATTATATGTTTGACACTCCGGTGCCGTCTATTGTTTAGATAACAATAAGTTTTTTTTTTTTTTTTTTGGTAAAATGGTATTTATAATATTGTTGATCAATTTTTTAACCAGTTTTAGAGCATTAATATTGCTTTAAGTCTCCGGATTTGTAGACTTTGATTACTACAAAAGTATATTTAATGAGGTAGGTAGTTTTTTCTGAAGAATAATCTTGATATCAAAAATTTATGCGAGTGCACCAATTAAATTCATAAATCGACGTCTTGCATACCTGTATGTTCCTACGTAGGAGATGCATACCAGAGTGATAAATCCAAGGAAATCGCTGACGGCAGCGGTAGATATGGCGATGCGGCCGAGCTCGGAGTTTGGCATCTTGAGCTCATATACGAGGTGGGTTATGACCGGTAACAACGTTACTGCTTGAATGGATACAATCACGCTGCGTTCTGTTGGGGCCAGCCTCAGAGGCATATAAAGAGGGTCGATCTTGTCGAGACGGAAGTTTCTGAAGGCTAATCCACTGATCATAGTCACTAAAAAGGACGAAACCGCGATCGCTACCGGCCGTTTACCGATTTTATACACCGCTCTCTTGTTGGTCTTCACGCCCATCAAGAACGTGAACATTACCAACCCAAGCCTGGCCACACCTTCCAACATTACGTTTCCAGGGACGTCTAACGATAACCGGTCTGATGAATACTCCAGAAGATCAATCAGCTGAGGTCCCAAAATCAAACCGGCCTAAATTAAAAACCAAAAGACTTGTTACTTGCGATACAAGAAACCATGCGCTTAGTACTTGCGATACAAGATATCAACATTTTCTTAACTTACAAGCATGTTGGAGACGAACTGTGGTATGCCAATACGTCTGAGGAACATATGAGATAAGACGATGGAAACGAAGATGAGAATGATTTGCAGCTCAAGGAGAGGCAATGCATATCCGAAGATAATAGTCGGAGTTTCATATTTTTCCAAGATTCCGTAAGAAGAGATGTTGTAAAAAGTCGCTCCGTAACAAATTTCAGCTTTGCTATGAGGCGGTGAAGGCGCAGGAGCTAGTGCTTGAGAATCGGTCATGATGATGACAAAGATTTGTTTTTTTTCAAATTTGTAAAAGATCGATTTCGTTTTTATTTTTGGCTGACAATTTCTTCTTAACAAAAAAATATTCAAAAACGTAACTGTTTGTTTTAAAAAAAACAGTTGTTGTTTCTCAAATAGTTGGCGCCCCCCTTTGACCAGTTTTTGTTTTTGAAATAATTTTGTTACGTTTTGAGCTGTACTTATCAACAAAGAAATGATACTTAGGCACTCTAATCCTGTTTTCTAGTCCTTTCCTTAAACTAAACCATTTTGTTTGACCAAAAAAAAAAACTAATCCATTTTACCTAATACTTATCTTTCGTAACAAACCCAAAAGATGAGCCCAATCTAAGCCCATTGAAGATCAAATATTGAGGTGACACTAGCTACTAATGACTAATCTAACACAAGAACTTTCGCCCACAACTCTAATTAATATCAAAAAAAAAAAAAAAAAAAAAAGAGTTCCAAGTTCCAACAACTTCTAAAGTCTAATTAATCCCATAGTGTTTTGAATATAAAAGAGTGGACCCAAAATGAGTCACCAAGTGGGGGGATCATATCCATTATCCAATCCTATCCTGTTTCTGCTTTTAAAAAGACAGGACATTACATTGACCCACAAACCACAAAACCTTGTTCTTGGTGACCCGTCAAGTCGCCAACTGAATTGAATCTTAAACCGAGTGTTTCCTATGTTATTAATTTTCAATTATTACCTAAATCTTTTTAATATAATATAATTTTCCAAAATATAAAATAATAATAATATTAATTTTTTTCCCAAATTTCTGATATCTGAGTGTTTTTAAGTGCATAATACAAATGAGATATTTTAACAAAAGTCCAACCACGAATCTCTGATATATTTCAATCCATCGTAAGGCCATAAACACTATTCCAATCTCTGTTCAGTTTTGTTTTCATTTTTATATTTTTTTCCAACTAAATACATTGACATAAAATTGAGATTACAAAGTTATTGTACAAAACTTTTGGAAACCAAATTATTACATAAACAAATTTTTGCAATATATAGTGAGAAAAATACATAAGAAGACAATGCTTTCGGTAGATAAACCTCGTGAATATGTTTTGAAATCCATTATTTTTTTTCTCCAAATTCGATCTTGTTCTAATGCAAACACTATACGTAGATAGTATCTCTTGGCTGAACCTCCAAGTTGCACACCACATAACAAAACCCGATGCTCTCGACAATAGTTCTGAAATATCGACATTATGATACCAAAGTTTCCGTATAATAATTATTTTGATAGATTTTGGCTCTATTTTCTCTTCGTTCGATCCCAAAAAATGTCTAATTATTCTAAAAATTGTTTGTTTTCATTAATTAATGTTCATGAAATGATTATTGGCTCTGACTAATGAACCATTTTAGACTCAATTTTTTTTATATAATTATGTATTCTGCTAATTAATTCTCAATCAGGAGTAAACAATAAACAAGTGGAAAAATATTTTAGCTATATTAAGAAGAAAATATATATATTCTTCCTCTTGTTATATTTACCAAAAAAAAAAAAAGGAGAGTCAAATTTTAATAATCGAGTATGGGATTTGTTGATTAGGCAAAATAAAAATCTGGCGTGTTGCCGAGTCATGTCACTCATCTTCATATAAATAAACCTGATTGCTTTTTAGTCTGTGCAACTTCTTCCCCTGATTCTGATTACCAAACTTCAATACATTTCTTCAAATTACGTTTCTTTTAATCTTTCGTTACTCTCCAAGAATTCTCAATTCTGGGTCTTTATCTGATTGATGTTGTTTTGAAGTAAGAAAGATCAAAACTTTAAGTAAATATGGAGATGGGTTTCCATGAAAATGAGCAAAATCAAGAATTTGCGAATCTAATGGAGATTGGATCTGGGCATTACGGGTAAAGAACATCTTTTTTGGGTATTGAAGCTAAAGTTTCACTTTTTTAGTTGAATTTGAATTTGATTATCCATGTGTGTGTGTGTTTAGGTGCTCACATTATAGAAGACGATGCAAGATTAGAGCACCATGTTGTGATGAGATTTTTGATTGCAGACATTGCCACAACGAAGCTAAGGTATTAACTAATATATAAAGGAATAGTCTTTTTACTTCCCTGGCTTTGTGACTTGTGTGTTTTTGTGAAGAACAACAAGTTTTGGTTATATATGTGAAGTTTATATAGCTAATGTGTTTTGTTTGTTTCAACAGGATTCTCTTCATATTGAACAGCATCATAGACATGAACTTCCTCGGCATGAAGTTTCAAAGGTTTTAAAGTTTCAACATTCTGGTTTCTGAACATTTTGATTCTGTTTGTTCTTTGTGATAACATTTTTGGTCTTGATTTGTTTTTTTTTTTCAGGTCATATGCTCTCTTTGTGAGACAGAACAAGACGTGAGTATCGACATTTTTGATATACAGATTTTATTGGTGAACGTGTTTATTGATGTAGTAGAGCTGTGATTGTTTTCTTCAGGTCCAGCAAAACTGCTCCAACTGTGGTGTATGTATGGGGAAGTACTTCTGCTCGAAATGCAAGTTCTTCGACGATGATGTAAGTTTTGTTATCGAGTTATCGCTCTTTTTATAGCTGGAATTTGTAGTAATGAGACCCAATATTGGTTGTTTCAGCTTTCCAAGAAGCAATATCACTGCGATGATTGTGGGATTTGCCGGTATAGATTCACTTTTAAACTAGCATTGTGATTTGTGCTTACCAATTCAAAAAAGAATCTGTTGATTTTGGTAACTAATTATTGATATGTTATCTCATGATGTTGGTTTAATAGGACCGGAGGAGAAGAAAACTTTTTCCATTGCAAAAGATGTCGTAAGAGACAAAACTTCATGTTCTGGTTTCCCCAAATGCTTCCAACCTTTCTTTGTTTGGAGATCTTATTTTGTTTTCTTGGAACAGGATGTTGCTACTCCAAAATTATGGAGGACAAACACCGATGTGTTGAAGGCGCAATGCATCACAATTGCCCGGTTTGTTTTGAGGTACAAGAATCAGATTCACCCCATTTCTTAATGCAACGTAATGTTGTCTTGGTACCAGGTTTCTTACAGTTGGACTTGATTTTTTGGATGTATCTGTTCTCAGTATCTGTTTGATTCTACAAGAGATATCACGGTCCTACAATGTGGTCACACTATGCATTTAGAATGCACGAAAGATATGGGGCTACATAACCGGTAAAAGAACTCTCAAGTCTTTTTTGCAACTGATAAAGAAAGTCATTGATAAACAAATATTAAAGGATTTTCTTGATGCTTTGTGTAGATACACATGCCCTGTATGCTCCAAATCCATATGGGACATGTCCAATTTGTGGAAGAAACTTGATGAAGAGGTAAGGTTTCTGGAACCTCATGTTCGATATCCTTATATAGTCCCTCTCGTGTTCATTAAGTCTTACATTAAAAAATTTGCAGGTTGCCGCATACCCAATGCTAAAGTTGTATGAAAACAAGATGGTAAACATAATGAAATTCGATATCTAATTTTCGTGTGTGTGTTTGTACACTTTCTGATTTGGATTGAAATGTGAATGATATGTTGAGTCAGGTATGGATTCTCTGCAATGACTGTGGCTCAAACACGAACGTTCGGTTTCATTTGATCGCGCATAAATGCAGTAGCTGCGGTTCCTACAACACAAGACAGACGCAGAGAGGCTCTGATAGTCACTCTTGCTCCTCTGGAATGCTTCAGGTTGTTGGTTCAACTGGTTAAGTAATACATTAACCAGAGATGGTTTTGGTGTCTAAATTTCCCAAGAGGAGATTATTTGTACTACTTTCTATACTTAAGTATCATCAGTCAATGCCTCTGGTTGTTTATATCATCAGAGATTCATAAGCTGCTTTGAGCCAATCCTACTCGCAAGTCTAGACCATTATAGCCCAAAACAAAACAACCATCCGATCCGACTTCACTATTTTGTTTCTAACCTGCTAAATAATATATTGAAAAAGGTAAATCAATCCATGAGTGGACTGTCTATTTATTGACACTCCTAAACTTATGTTATTTACATGGACAAGAAGATCCGGCTCTAGATCTTCAGGACCTACCCGAACCGACAAAGAAATGGCTTTTGGATCTTTTGGTTGTTGGGCTTACCAACGACTTCTCACCCATCTTCCCCAACAACAAAATATTTAAATAAATTATCTCAAAAGTTACACTTTAATTATCACATTTCACTTACTATAGAAAAAAAAAATTCACTATGAAGACAGGAACATAACATCACATTAGGAGAGAGAGAAAAAATGAAGCTAAAGTATTGAGCTTTAGAGTTAACATAATATCATCCCCAAATAATGGTAGAGGGAAAAATCATAGAAACCCCTAATTTTAGTTTCACAATCATGGAGCCAAAACATAAATGTCAAATTGGGTTTTTGGGTTTGAGATACAAAACCCAACAACAACAACAACAACACAAAAAAAGAAAGAAACCAAACATACTAGTAGAGAAAGAAGTAAACTAGCAAACTCTCTCACTTAGTATTAACTCTCCATTGATTTAAGAGTTAAACCAGGGGAGTTTTTTTTTCTTTCTTACTTTCTCATAACTCTAAATCTAAACCCTAAATGGATCAGACTCTGTCTCCCACAATGGAGCAAAACCTAATGTACAAAAAGATCAGTCTCACTTGAACCCAAAGTGAGATTAATCATGAAATTGACCTATGTAATGGTATATTTGATGACTATTAGTACTACTTGAGTAAGAAGAAAGATCAGTTGCCAGAATTGTTTCGATTTCCCGGTCAATGGAGAAGAACTTTCTGATACTTAGCTTCTGAATAGGATCCATCTGAGAAGACTCTTTTCCTGTTGAATTTCCCACACCCATTGTTGACAATGGGGCATTGGACTGTGACTGGAGGGATCTCGAAGCTCTTGAGAGGCGGTGGCGGATGGCGCCATTGAGGTAATGGACCGGCTAAGAGCAGTGTTTGAAGTAAAGGCCCTGCCTTAATAACAGCCTGTAAAAGCTTACCCTTTTCAGGCAATGGTTTGTCTGGAAACAATGGATCCATAGTAATCTCAGTTCCTGACACTTCTTCAAGCTGAGATGGTGGTGGATTCATGACATGATCAGTGGGTGACATAATGCTCTCCTCGCAATCAGATGATGAGAAGCTCTTGTTGGATCCTAGTTGTTGAGGCTGCACTTGCTCGTCTTCAATGCTTGAAGCTCCAGATAAAGGAGGAGTCATATGCTTTTGTTGCTGTAGCGAGTGGTTATCGAACATAAGACGCTGACATTTCTCGAGAGCTTCATCTCTTTCTTTGATGGTTTTGGTTATGATGTCTTTGAGATGGATCAATTGCTCATCTCTTTTCCTTATCTCTTCATAAGCAAACATCTTTGTTTGGTCGAGCTCTAGTGTTGTGTACAGTAGAGACTGTCTTATTTCTTCTGTTGTCTGTAAAAAGTTTAAAAGAGAATCAGACACACAAAACAAAGAAACAGAGGAAACAGAGGAACCAAAAAAAAAAAAAAAAAAAAACAGGGAACCCCTAAATTGGTCAGAGAAGAAATTAGTAAGAAATGCAAAATATGAAACTTATGCAAAAATCAGGGTTTACTAGATATATTAAGAAGAAGAAAGAAAAAGAAAAACCTCGAGAAATTTCTTGTTTTGACAAGACATTATGCCCCAATTTAAGCAAAATAAAAATTGAAAGTAAAGGAAAGCAAAAGCCAAAATCTATGAATACTCACTAGGGTTTAAAGAAGTTTTCTTTACCTTTGCGTGGGAGTAGTAAGACCATCCAAGAAGAGCATTGCTTTGGTTATCCATAGAATTCAACTAAATAGAGCTTATAAGATCTTTTGATTCTCTAATATAAACTGTTCGTGTGTGTGAGAGAAAGAGAATGGGTTTTAGCTTGAGGGATTAGGGAGGGAAGGAGTTATATATTAGTAAACCTTATAGTGGAGTACTGTTTAAAGCAGATGGAGCTTTTTCAGGTAGCTCTCTTTCGAGTTTTCAATAATTTTATCAAATAACTAAAAGGAATTAAAGAAATATAAAATGATGCCACATGATTTTATCATATCTTGCTACATTATTTCAACTAACCCCACTTTATCATTTACAACGCGCAAAACTATTAAGAAAATTATTTATATAACAAAAAGATCTAAAAAAAAATGAAGGGCAATGTTAACTTACAATGTCAAAATATAATTTTATAAACAGTAGGAAATAACTATAGTTCAGGTCTTTTTGCAAATCATTCTTATACTTTGTTTCATGTATAATTCTTGTACATTAAACGATATTTCATTTTTTGAAGTGGGTGTATCTTTTTTAATATTTATTTCTGTAGTTTTTGCCTTTTTCTTTTTCTTTTTTCCTTCTTTTGCCGTAAGTATTTGGTGGAAGAGAAGACCTTAGACCAATATCGTAGTTTACTGACTTTGGTCTCACTCACTCACATTATAGTCTCTCGCAACTCTTTAAAAGTATTTTGTTTTCTTCTTCGGTTTTCTTGGGATGTGCAATTACATATCTTGTCTTTATACAAGAAAAATCAAGTAGCACCGAAAAGAGCGGGAACGAATGCTTCTTCAAACACCGTTTTTCTTTTCGTTTTTGTGTATATAAATCAAAGAAGCATAGAGTCAATGCTAAGTGGATTCCATGGTCAGCAAAAGAGGCAAGTAACCAAACTTTTCCCACCAAAATGTTGAGAAAAGTTGATATGGAATCCCTTTTTCAATTATTAAATCGATCACTACCCGTGGAAAAAAAAAAGAAATGCTCTCACTACTCACATTCTCGTTCACAAATGTCACGTGAAAATTACAAAATAAACAGCTCAATTTCTTTTCATTTTCAGTGGATGATATAAACATCGCTAGATCCATAGCCGGGAGAAAGAAATACCTATCGTCCGGTTTTTAATATTATAGTCAGTACTATCAAATCTACGATCACTAGATTATTCTTCTTTTTGGTCAGCATCGATTATCCATGCCTCCATGGTGTAGATCATATCTAGGTTCAAAGTTATGGATATATATAATTATTTTTGTTATTACAATATTCATATTCTTTTGTGTTGCTAATTATTCGATCTTTGGATATGGTCAAATATCATATCTAGTGTAATATTATTAACGTGAAAAAACTTTAGTATGTATGTAAACATACAATACGAAACTAAGAAAATATTTATTAGTGTGCTAAAAACATACAATACGAAACTAAGAAAATATTTATTAGTTGACAACAATAAAATAATATTTTTTTAAATTGAGGTAAACAATGGAAAAGTTGCATGAAAATGTTCTCACTGAGATTTAGAAAGTGTTTGGGATATAAAGAAGAGGTAAGAACATAAAATACAAAACAAAATAAATATTTAGTGACTTTTTTTTTGTTTTATCATTTATATATTTTCTTCAAATATTCGTATATTTTCAATTTGGACTGAACACAGTTTTGTGTCGTTACTTTTTAATTGCATGTGAAAGAAAAACTTGTAAATGAGTAAATGACTGACTACTAGGTTTTTCACCCAAAAAAAAAAAAGGTAAATGACTACTAGGGTGGCGAAAAATCAATTTTAATTTCTTGGGCAAAAATTTATAAATATTCTTAAATACTTTCTTGAAAATGATTTATTGACTTTTACTGCAAGTGGAAGTAAAGTGAATCTCCATATTTAGTTTGCTGGGCATGTGTTAAGTGATAATCATGATGGTGATACTCCGAATATTAATATACATACTAAGGAAAAATGGATAAAAAACAATTATTTTTCCTAAAAACATGTAAAAGACCCTCGACTTTTTTTTGTGGGATTTTAAACCCTCATCTTTTCAGTGGTAAAATAAACCCTAATATTAGTAAACTCAACTTAATTTTCTTTTATTGTTATATTAAAACATTAAGAAACAACAAAAAAATTAATATATGATTTTTTTTTTCCAAATTCGTTTGCAATTTGTTTTTCTAAATTTAAAGTTTTTGCGCTATAAAAATTCATTCACAATTTAGTTGAGATTACACAAATAACTTTTGTTACTATTAGACAAATAGCACATTTGATTTTTTTTTTATTCGAATTTTCAGTTTTTGGATAAAATATAGTTAAATAACGATTAACTAAATGTAATTTATATTATAGTTTTAGTATATCGTGATATATATATATATATATATATATATAGAAATACTGTTAGTAAATCTTATTTTGTTCGTCCAACGAAAATATTTTGATGTGCAAATTCATGTACTTTTTGTAGTATTATAAAATTTGGTTTGGTCTCACATTAGTATATTTGTGTGATCGAACCGAATACACCTTTATTAACATAAACTCATATTCTGTTCGGTATAAGAATTTCTATACATAATTTTTCGTAACACAACCGAATACAACTTCATTAATTAACTTTTCTACATCATGCTTAAAAATTTTCAATTTAGCAAAAGATTATATTGTAAACAAGAATTTTAGAAGAAAATTCCTAAATCAAATTGTTAATATTTATTTATGTTTTAATGTAACTATTTTTTTGAATTTAAATTGAGTTTAATAGGGTTTATTTTACCATTTATGAAAAGGTGAGAGTTTAAAAACCCACATAAAAAGTTGAGGGTTTTTAATACGTTTTTAAGAAAGGTGAGGGTTTTTTAACCCATTTTCCCACATACTAATTATGAAAATGTTATCAATTAAAAAGAGTCTAAAGGATTCTCTGTTTCAACAATATGCAGATAAACTAAGTGGTCTTCGTGTAGTGGTAAAAGAGAGAAAAGTTTATGCCACCTAAGTTCGAGTAACATTGGCCATCGGAGTTCAAATTCCCACATGATTTATTTGGTCTCCATAATTAGTCTTTGCGCCTAAAAAACTTTTAAAATCATCTAAGTTATAAAAAAAAAAATATGCACATAAATAAATAATATATATATATATATATATATATATATATATATATATATATATATATATATATATATATTCAAAAAGAAAAAGCAAAAGAAAGGGGGATTTCCAATAGTAAAAGTAGGGAGACAATAGTTATCATTTCATGGTCTCTTTCACCAGCATTAATCTAAGAGCATGTCAAGCAAAACTTTGTATTTCTACTTTTCTTTTTATTGTGTTGAATATTAAGAGCTTCGATTTTCCAGTGTGCATGGTCACGCACAAATATATCTAGCTTTGTGATTCATTGTGCTTACTCGCGATTTTTTATAACTTATAACAGTAGTGTACTAGTGTATAATGTATACTAGAAATCGTACTCTTAAGTAAAACAAGACCAACTAAATATATGTGAGCCAATAGTATTAAGTAGATGGGTTTAATTAGTACATCTAACTAGTATCTAAGTTGCGCAACCAAAAAAAGTCCTAAACTTCAGTTTTGACTTTTGAGTTAGATATAAATAAACATTGACGACAGATATTGATTTCATAGATCTCTATATCACTTATTCACTTATGATTATGAATGTGATGACCCCGTCCAATATCTAGTTATGCCTTATGAATATGATCGTGTTGGCAATATTCACAACAAAGATAATGTAGGATAAGAGCTAATTATACGAAGCCACAAACATGGGAGCTATCCATAAATGCACAGGACATGCTTTGCTTTCATTCTTCACTGTCATTATGAATTGAACAAGTTTGTGTGCGTATTAGTTTTATCCAAATACTAATTAAGAACCTTAAATTCCATATTAAGGGAAACCAGATTGTTTATTTTGTCGGCCAATAATTCAATTCCTCATGATAGAGAAAGTAAGAAACAAGCAAAAACGAATTTACCGTTGTGGCAGTTAAAGAAAGATTCAATCTGATTTCTCCATATTTGCCTTTTAGAAAATTACGTATATAAGTTATAAATCTTTATATGACTTTTTTTTTCATCGTACAAGGCATCATAATTTATACCTAATTAATATTCCAAAAATCGTATGTTAAACATTTAGCATGCAGGACCACAATAGATTATTGTCAAAGTCGTCAGTCCGTCATGTTTTTCATTGAGAATATATAGAATCGATTTAGTATAAAATAATTATTTGGACGTAAGAAAAAAATCTTCCAATGACAATGAATAAATTGACACATATCAATATATGATCTAATAATTTAGGTTTCCATTTACTTTATAACTTAATATTGTTTTCTTGTGTGTAAAGTCTATGTATATTGTTTTGATGGTTCTAGACTGTGGACTTCGAGTCCTGAGTGTTTTTGATACATAACATCCAGTTGTTTCCCAGTAAGCACACAGAATAATTCGACCGCATTACATCAGAAGTTCTTTCAGTTTTTGTTTTTGTCTTGCGTGTGTCATGTGTTTATAGAATTTTGTTGACTAATTAGCCCATCTCACATTGTCTAACCATTTTAGTCGTCTCGTGTTTGAAAACATGAAAAACGAAAGCTGGAAAACTTAAAATATATAAAGGTTTCAGTTTTCTCGAATATATTAATGGATGAAATTTTTTGTTTCAAAAGGGAAAATGTCATAAATTGCATTGCGCAATCATTTATTTGTATCGTAAAATATAACTACTCACAATCCTTTAATATTAGTAAATTACGGAAAGGGAAAATAAAAGGCTCTTTTTTTTTTTTTTGGTAAGGGGAAAAGTAAAAGGCTCTTGAACTGTTTTGTGACATTTCAGCCGAGTTTTTTTTTCCCTTTCGTTCTTTAGTTTAAGACTTTGAAAGGTATCTATTTAAGCCATATCAGAGATGTTAAAGCCCAATACCCAACTCATGGGCTTCTTAACCGATAGGACCATTCTGACTACACTACTGGTTCAAATTCAATTGGTTGGAGTTTTAGAAACAATAAAATGTGTAGAACACTTTCGGTTTAAATATTGACAATGGGTTGCAAAGTCCTTCAAGGCCCATTTTGTTGGCGTTGAACTAAGAATCAGATTGTTTAAGTAATCTTTAGAAAGTTTGTTTTTCTTTTTGTTTAGTTTTTGTATTTGTTTTGATGACTAACCACATTGGACACGCTTTCATGTCACGGTTTAGAACACTTGTAGAGAACAAAAAAAACGGTTGATATAAAATGTTTTTTTGTTAAAAGGGTTTTCTATTTGTTAATAAAAGATGTTGGAGTGGCAGATTTAGAGTATAAAAAATAATGCCTATAGATTCTTCCTTCTGATTTAAGTCTAAGCGACCCTCTTACCAAACATATTGCTTCGACTGTAATATTAAATATTTCTACAATAAATATCAATTATAATGTACGTAGTATATATAGATAGAGAGAGAAACAATTTTAAACTGAAGAATAATAATGCCGAATCATGAATGGCTCGTGAATTCATTGACAATAAGAGACTGAAAATACTATATATAGACTATTTATTATATATAATCAAACCAAACAGCATCCAAAGAGAGATAAACAGTCACAAGTGACAACGTATACTTTTATAACATATGAATATTTAGAATAGAGGTTTGGTACGTTTGGTTTGTGATTAACTGATTAATTATTAGTGTCATTATAGTGTCGTCCAAATTAGATAATACTCACTCCGTTCTTTTATAAATGTTGTTTTAAGCTTATTTTTTGTTCTTAAATATATGATGTTTTAAGTTTTAATGCAATATTAATAAGTTTTTTTATTAGTTTTGACTATTTATACAATGCAAATTAGTTTTCTATTAGTTAATTAAATAATAAATGATGTTTTAGTTTAGAAATAAACAAAAATTAAATGATTTCTTAATCTGTATAAATTTTTCTAAAACATCAAATAAAAAAGAACGGAGGGAGTATGAGTGTATATTTATATTTCAAAAATGTTTAATTATTTGTTTTCTATCAACACAAAATACCGGAAGTTTGTAGTGCTCAGTTCGGTTAAGTTAATCCAGCACAAAAACAAATCCATCAAGCCATGTCCGTAACCGTTAAAATGGGTAAATTTCTAGTATAATTTTCCTTCAATGCCTATACATGCACGTAAATCCAGTTCTGTCTCCATGCATATAAATATACATGTAGCCTTTTATGGCCAGATGGGGTAAATGTGTGAATTTGTTTGGTTATAAATATTAAATGTTGCATTTACTATAGTCTAGTAGGTTATTTAAAGCGACCAATCAGTAGCTGAATTCTTATAAAAGTATTAAATGCACCAAATTTTAACAGATGCCGTTATTAATTAACCATTTTGTGATTGGTACAACCACTTTGATATTCCAAATAAGGCTGAATTCTTTTTATCCATGTTGTTGTGATGGTAGATTTTGTTTATGACTTTACAATTACAACTTTCAAAAATTTGTGGGGGTTATAGTGTGAGATTGTGTACGGTTTCAAAGTCACCTAATCAGTCACGTTATTACGTACTCCCCCTGTTCCATTTTGTTTGTAGTTTTAGGCTTTTTTTTTGGTTCCAATTTATTTGTTTTTCTCACATATCTATGCAAAATTTTACTTATTCCAACAATTTATATTTTCACAGTAATTAATTTAAATCAAAAAATAATTAATAAATTTTGGTCAAATCTGTTAACGTCAATTTTTTTAAGAAAAAAGCAATTAACAAAGTTTACTGGAAGATGAACAGCACTTTATCACTAGTAAAAAATGACGAACATCATTTACAAAACTAAGACAAAAAACAATCGATTAGTTTATTTAAAATATGGAAAAAGAGATCTGACCTGGATCATGATCAATAGGATAATAATTGATATCACTAGAAAAATCTTCATTGCCGCTATTTCCACAAGTTTCTTCTTGCGTTGGTATTTCGTTCAAATCGAACAAATATTCATTCTCATAATTTGGAGGTGGAAAATTCAAATCAATATTAGAATCCATGAATTGCTGAATAAACCATTGTTCAATTGAATAGATTATATAAAGAAAAAAAATTAAGTTTTCGTTTTGTTTTGGCTCTATTGTAAAATTTGAATTTTTTAGATTTAAACTGTTTATGAAAAATTTTGGCTCCAAATTTTAACTTTTCTAATAATTTGTTCATTACAAGTAGTACTTTAATTGGAGTGAAGAAAAGTTGACGTGAGTTTTTAGTGACTATTCATCTTCTTCTTTTTTGTTGTTTTTAAGTAAAAACAAGTTTTATTAATTATCTAATTAATGATTTTTAATGATTTTTAACCAAAATTAAGTTTTCTTAATAATCGTGCTTTTAGTTAAAACTACAAACAATATGGGACAGAGGGAGTATATGTTTCTTAAGTTATACAAAAAAAAAAAACACTTTTTCTAAGGTATTGTAGAAAAATAAATAAAAATAAAAAATTCAAGAAATTATCAATAAAACTTATTTCTTGTTTAAACAATATCTGAGATATAATTGTCATTCTAAAGTGACTTAAATTTATGCAAGTTTTAGGGGTCCTATTCGAATGAATACATAAATGTTACGAACCAAAAGCTTAGGAAGGTCATTGGGTCAAAGGCGGCTATGATTTAGTTTTGGAGGATGACGGTACAATAAGTTTAGAAAATTTTCAAAATTTCTTATTTCTATTGTATCGAGTTTTTTGAAACCTATATAAAGAGAGTATAGGTTTTTACAAAGTTTATTACTAGTATTAGATTAATAAATGAAAGCCTAAACAAAAGATATTGGCCTCATGAACACTCTTTTCTCTTTAACCCTTCTTCTATCATTTGCTCGAAATCACAGCAGAGACCATAACAAAAGTATTTTAGTATTTATATGTTTCTTAAAAACAAACTTTATTTCATCTTCGTTGTCTTACCAAGTGGGCATTACTTATGCCTAAAGATAGAAGATGTCCAACTTCTATCATCTTATAGGCGACGTCCGTGCTCATAACCACTTTTCTAAGTCTTACTCATAAGTTATAACCACTTGTCCTACTTGAATTGATTGGTGTGATGATTAATTGACCATTAATAGAAGTACAATTGGGACAAAGTAAATATAGTTTTAATGAAATCTAACCGCTTAAATAATCATACACTCCTTCCCTTTCACTATTTAAAGTTTAATAATGTTACATGCATATTATTCTTGAAAACGACAAGATGTCAAGATTATAAGATAACTTTTTCTTTTTTTTTTCTACAAAGATTAGAGCATGGTCATAGTTGATACTCATAAAATATCATTAAGAATTTTTTAGTATTATTTATAATGTTTGTTTCATGTTTTTTTTCCCCTGCTTTTGGCAAACTGGACCAATCAGTAGATGCCACGTCAAATGATAGTGGTATCAAAAATATCACTAGATTGATACTAATGAGGCCCATTCTAATTATTTTGTCCATATAAAAATAATTTATTAGCTTGTGATATTCTAAAAATATCACTTATGTACATGGTCTAAGATAATACTAAGGGAATACTATACTTGGAGAACAAAAAATATGTATACAAAAGCTCATGCACGTATGGATGAGAACAATGACACATTCTAATAACAACTAAACACTTCCCAACTTTCATAAGTAAACAACTTCTGAATAATCTTACAAAAACAATGGATTTAAAAAATCTTTTTCTTGTGTGTATAAATGTGTTGCACTCTTTTCTCCCCACACACAGACCCAGTGGCCAGTGCTCTTGTAAGCTTTTTAGATACCTTTTGCGTTTTTTTCCCAAGCCCCACTCTAAATATATGTAATATATAATGCATAGTGGATTTGTTCGATTACAATTTAGATTTTACCACTTATTATTATTTTTTAATTTTAAATCCGAGTTTTAGATACTAGGTGGAAAAACGGTATTTTAATACTCGTTTGGGATGAAGTACGATGTATGTTTGGTTTGGCAGCTCAATTTCTAAGTGAAATAAATATTATTTTATTTTATGTAGGGACAAATTAAGAAAAAGGCTAATAAAAGTTTAGAAGAAGGCTAACTTTTTGATATGAAAATATACAATTTCTGATTTAAGGTTTAGAATTTATTTTTGTGGGATTAGCTTATTTTAGGCTTTTGAGTTTAGTTTTTAAGATTTTAGAGTTTGAATTTTGTATAAATTATGGCACATTACATACTTATGGTGCAATATACATATATATATTTTATTCAGCACCAATATTTTTACCAAAGCTCAAATATTAATTTATAGTCATTCTAGTATTTAACTACACAACCATGAAACTAGAATAGGGAGGGAATATAAGTGATGAGCGTATGGTGCAACAATTTTGGTAGGGATTTTTTTTTCAAATTTATATCCATCCAATTTTGAATTAACTTAATTTCATTAATTTGTTGTCTTTCACTTTTTCATTATGAAAATAAATATACTCCATCCGTTTCAGTTTAGTTGTCGTTTTAGGATTTAAATTTTGTTTCATAATAGTTGTCGTTTTAAGTTTTCAATGCAAATGTTTGGTGAAAATTTCAGTTTTATCCCTACTGTTTTAATGTTTTGGCTAATGAAATTTTTTATAAAATATATTAATAAATGGTAAAACAGAAAATTGAATGTTTTTCTTAATTTATGTGAAAAAAACCTTAAACGACAAATAAAACGAAACGGAGGAAGTAGTATATTTAAAAATAAATAAAAGTCCCATCTAACTTGTCATTATTAAACTACAAATGATAAACGTAATCCAAAAAAAACAACAATTAGCTTATCAAGAGACACATTTACATAAAAAGCACATGCCCCTCACGGGATCAAAACATCCCAACTTACCAAAATTCGCAAAGTAATTATTACGGAGCCAACAAGGGCATTATAGTCATTCCCTATTATCTGGTACGGTTACAAGAAATTTGACCAGCGGTGAACCCGAGACCATTGCCGAGCTCTATTCTGCTCCATTGCCATCACCATGTGACGACCTTCTCTCTCTAAATTCTCTCTGTACTCTGAAAAAAATTGTTCTTTATTCTTATTACAGAAACAAATTTTTTTTTTTGGTTTCTTAATGATTTGTTATAACCTTGTTGGATTCAAACCAAACCTACACGAGAGAATGATGAGAAGTAGATCACCGATTTTGTTCCAAATGTTTTGATTAAACATTCAACGACTCTTTCTCTACATTTCTCCCAAATCTCTGTTGATTTTGCTAAATCAAGCAATGTCGCTTGACATAAAGAGACCGAACATCAACAAGACGAAGAAGAAGAAGACAGGTTTCGTCGTGAAAATGCAGCTTAATAACAACAACAGAGGAGGAAATAAAAGAAACATCTTTATCTTCTTCTTCTTCAGAAATTATTACACATGGATCCTCTGGTTTTTCCTCTCTCTTTATTTCTTCACATCTTACTTCTCCGTCGAAGACCAATCCCCACCGTCGTCAATACGTCTCTTGTCTAACCACAAAACGTCGTCGTCTCTCCCATCTCGTGCTCTCATCGAATCTTCCGCCATTAAAACCAACTCCTTTGGTAAAAAAAAAACATCGATCTTTTATTTCTTCTCTGTTTCAAATCACTCATTTTTCTCAAAAATCGATTTTTTTGTTCTTCTTGTAAATAAAGGTTTATTCAGCGGAATGAAGATATATGTTTACGATTTACCGGCGAGTTTTAACGACGATTGGGTCACGGCATCAGACCGGTGCGCTACTCATCTTTTTGCGGCGGAGGTAGCCATCCACCGTGCGCTTCTCTCCTCCGACGTCCGTACGTTAGACCCAGAAGAAGCTGATTTCTTCTTCGTCCCTGTCTACGTTTCTTGCAATTTCTCCACATCCAACGGCTTCCCTTCTCTAAGCCACGCTCGCTCTCTCCTCAGCTCCGCCGTCGATTTTCTCTCCGACCATTACCCGTTTTGGAATCGGACTCAAGGCTCTGACCATGTATTTGTCGCTTCCCATGACTTTGGTGCGTGCTTTCACGCAATGGTAAAGCTCCAAAGTCCTCCCATTCAAGTGCTTACATGCCTAAAGTATGTTCCTTTGGTCAAAGTCTCACAAGTAGATATTGATTTTTTATTTGTTTGTGTTTTGTGAAGGAGGATATGGCGATAGAGGAAGGGATTCCAGAATTTATGAAGAAATCGATTATTTTACAAACGTTTGGAGTTAAATATAAGCATCCATGTCAAGAAGTGGAACATGTTGTTATCCCGCCGTATATTCCGCCGGAGAGTGTTCAAAGAGCTATTGAAAAAGCTCCGGCGAACGGACGGCGAGACATTTGGGCCTTTTTCCGGGGAAAAATGGAAGTCAACCCTAAGAATATAAGCGGACGCTTTTACAGCAAGTGCGTTGCGTAGCGAAAACCTTTCACATTTTTTTTTTTCTTGTTGACTTTGACTTTTGTGTTTTTGGATTTCTCCTTTAATTTACTAAAATGCCATTTTTCCCGGCGTGCAGGGGAGTGAGAACAGCCATTCTAAAGAAATTCGGAGGAAGAAGGCGGTTTTATCTTAACCGGCACCGGTTTGCTGGATACCGATCAGAAATTGTGAGATCGGTGTTTTGTCTCTGTCCTCTCGGGTGGGCACCGTGGAGTCCTAGGCTAGTGGAATCCGCCGTGTTAGGTTGTGTTCCCGTTGTTATCGCCGATGGGATTAAGTTACCGTTCTCGGAGACGGTAAGGTGGCCGGAGATCTCACTAACGGTGGCGGAAAAAGACGTGAGGAGTCTTCGAAAGATTTTGGAACACGTGGCGGCTACTAATTTGTCTGTGATACAGAGAAATTTACATGGACCGGTGTTTAAGCGGGCCCTCTTGTACAATGTGCCGATGAAAGAAGGAGACGCCACGTGGCATATTCTCGAGTCGTTGTGGAGGAAGCTCGATGATCGGTCGTACAGAAGGTCAAGGGTTTTAAGCCAATGATAAGTCGACACGTAAGATTCTATGTCTAAATGGATGCTAGGCTGGATTTTTTCGGACTGTTTCGGAATTGGTAAACCGGGAATGTCTCGAGTGGGGTCCACAACGTGAGGGGGATTAACTCGGGCACGTGAGATGTTTGCTGAGTTGGCGATTATTGAGTGGATTAACGTGCCCCAGGGAAGTGAAAGTGTAAAGTATTGCTGACGTGTAATTCTTTTGATGAGTAGGTATATAAATTCTTTTGAATATAAAGTTGATCGAAATGCAAAGTTAAATCAAATCTCAACTTCAGTTTAACCTCCAACACTCGATCAGTTTTTTTCTTTGGAATAAAAACAATGTATCTTGGTTAGAATACAAATAAGTAAAATTTGTTTAGTCCCTTCTAAGTTGTGACATAAGATCTTCGTTAACACAGATGATCGAAACTCTACACAGCTTGGATCGGATCTAAAAATTTTAGTTGACCATCCTTAAATATAATTAGCCAATAAAATAAATAAGAATTAGTAACATATAATTGGAAAAGTAATGATAAAGATAAAATAAAAAGGATGGTGTTTGTATAGGGAAAGATGAAAGACAGAACAATGTGAGCAAGAGACAGCTAGTGTGTCAGAAGAAGATGCATATATCAATAAATGTTACTCACTCCGTTTCGTTTTAGTTATCGTTTAAAGTTTTTTCACACAAATTAAAAAAAGCATTAAATTTTCTGTTTTATCCTTTATTAATATATTTTATAAAAAAATTCATTGGCCGAAACATTAAAACAGTAGGGATAAAACTGAAAGTTTCACAAAACATTTGCATCGAAAACCTAAAACGACAACTATTATGAAGCAAAATTTTAATTCTAAAACGACAAGTAAAACGAAACGTAGGGAGTAATAATCTTAGATTATTTGTCTATTAAATTCTTATTTACACATATGTTTGCAGGCCCACATTACTTTCTTATCTTATGTCTTGTAGACATCACAAAAACAGTACACCAATCAAAAATTATTTACACATCTATCTTTTTTTTTTTTTTTTCACTGAAAGATTGATGAATATATTCATGAAACCAGTGACACATACACAAAACGGATCAAGGACAATCATTCTAGCTCAATCACAATGAGTATTACACAAAGCAATACTACTTTCATCCTCAAAGATCTTCTTTAACCAAAAAAGGAACCCGGTTGCTACGTACGATTGACGGCGATCCTCCACTGTAACACTCTTGGCTATAAGGTGAGCACCAAGGTTTGTAGCTCTAACCTCACCAAAAAGCTTCCAATCCAAAAAATTCCCTAATTCATGAAGCAATAACAGGGACTGAAACTTATAAGATGGCCAAGCAGGTGGCCTTAAGACAGCTCCTATAAGATCAGTATCCTCAGATGCGAAAATGATTTTATCAATCCTGAGACTTTTCATACTCTCTATAGCCCATTGCCAGCAAAGAACACTAGCATCAAGCTTGCTAGTCACTGAAGCAAAAGACCTTCTCCCATGAGTTAAAACCAGGCCGTGTTCATCTCTCAAAACCCATGCGGCACCACCATTTACACATCTATCTATGTTTACCTTTATCTGTCGAATACTTAGATTAATCTATATGGAGTATTAGCTAATTTCAATTAGTAGACATTAAAAAACATTGCAACAATGCGAACAATCTCATTCCATTTGTGTTTGAGCTGCTCCCAAAATGATCATATTGAACGCATAATGATTAATAAAATCAGTTTCGATATTTTTATTAATGGAAAATGTGTTAGTTTTTTTTTGAAAATAGATGAAATGCAACATCTTGTGACTTGTTTTCTTAACAATTTATTTAATAGTGATGTAACCCCACAATCAGAGAAAGTAACAAATATGTGTCGTACAGTTGTTTTGTTCTAAAATCGCAACAAAAACAATGACCATTAACATAATTTTGGTTATAACGAAAGTGACACAGTACTTCATCTATAATGATATGGTCATTGCCTCTCATTGGTCAAGTATCATCCCTGGCACTAAAGCTTGGTTAAGAGGCGTTTGCTGGATCCTGGACCTATATCTAACTCTAAAACAAAAATTTAGGGCTGGGCTTTTAAACCGAACCGAAACCGAAGTAAAAAAAACTGAACCGAACCGAATCGAAAATTTGAAAATAACCGAATGGATATTAAATTTGATAACCGAAATAACCGTAACCGAATTAGTAGCGAACCGAAATATTTCGGGTAACCGAAATACCCGAAATACAATTATATTTTTGAAATAATTAGTTATTTATTGACCAAATAATCAAAAATACTTGAAAAATCTATAAAAATAGTAAAAATACTCAAAAATAACCGAAAAATATCCAAAAATATTCGAAAATACTCAAAAATAACCGAAATATCCGAAAATATCCTAAACAAAATAACCGAATGGATACTAAATTTTAAAACCGAAAGAACCGAAACCAAACCGAAACCGAACCGAAATTTCAAAATATCCGAATGGATATTAAATTTTAAAACCGAAAGAACCGAAAACCGAATGGACCCAACCGATAACCGAACGGATAACCGAAAACCCAGGCCTACAAAAATTCATATAAAAAGGCCTTTAATAAAATACTTTACTAGAAGGCCCAATCCTCTCTTGTTTTTGTTTATTCTAAGCTCTATATTTGATTGGGCCGACTATGACCATACTCCATTATTCTAGGCGCTCTTTTTTTGTTACTTGGGCTTTTTTTTTTTCTTATACATACACATTTACATTTTAACAGAAAGATTACTATAAATGAAAATATTATTTTGTGGGTGTTTAAAAACTACGTCAACGAAAACAAAAAAATTACATCAACTATGTTCCAAAAACTTCGGGTTCAATTAGTTTTATTCGATATACTCCCTCTGTTTTTTAAAAGTTATCGTTTTAACTGTATTTTGACAAATTAAGAAAAGGTATACAATGACTATATTAACCTCATAAAAATGACAAGTAATTATTTACAAATAATTTGTGTTCAATAAAATGAGGGTAATTTGGGTAGTTATTGGCATAACTTACATTATTACCTTAAAACGACAACTAATTTAAAAAAAAAAAAAAGCTCTAAAACGACAACTATTCGAAAACGGAGGGAGTAATTGTTAATTTTGTTACCGTTTATATCATTATTTTTATAAAAGAAATAAAAATTTACTCGTTTTTATTTCAGTTCGGTCTGATTTTTTTTTTTTTTTTTTAAATATCATTTCAGTTCGGTCTGATTGTTTGTGTTCGATTTTTAGGTTTGGTTTTTTCCAAACCAACACTTCCTTAAAGTTAAAAAAAAAAAACATATATATAATTGCTTATTTTTAGTTTAATAGTTTTGGTCCGCGAGAGGCATAAGCATACAAAAATATTCTTCTCCGAAAGTTTTAAGAACAGAGCAAGGTAAAAAAAGAGAAGTCTCGCAACAATGGAGAGAGTGATGAACATCATAAAGCCAAAGCCTGATCCCAAACAACTCTTGCGTGATTGGCAACGCAAATTACGTCAGGAGTGTCGTAACATCGAACGCCAAATCCGAGGTTCTTCTATTTACACATCTTCTCTCGCGTTTTTCGTTGGTCAATTTAGGGTTTTTGAAATCTAATTGAATTAGAAGATGCTAGTTTAGATTAATTGGATTGAATCAGATTTGGATCGGATTATTTTGATGGGTGTCCTTTATAAGTGGATTTTGATATTCCTGCTGATGTTAATTTCTCGATTTGGTCATCTGGGTTAGGTTTGAATCTATGGAATTTTGAAAGTTTTGGTTTTTGTTCAGATATACAGAAAGAAGAGAGAAATGTACAAAAAGCTATTAAAGAAGCTGCAAAGAGGAATGATATGGTCTCTGCTAAGGTAAGTACCTAAAAAGTCTTTGTCTTTGTTGAATCTTTGGCTCTCGTTTCTGATTTGAGTGTTTGGTGTTTCTAGGCACTTGCTAAGGAAATTGTGAGTTCAAGAAGAACAGTGAACCGGTTATATGAAAATAAAGCGCAGATGAATTCGATATCAATGCACCTTGGGGAGAGTGTTGGTATGTCCTTTCTTTCGTTTTCATCATTTGTTATATTCTATGTTTTGTGATGTGGTTTTCTTAAAGAAGTTTCATTGGAAATCTGCAGCGATTGCTCGAACAGTTGGGCATTTGTCCAAGAGTGCAGAGGTTATGAAGCTTGTTAATAATCTCATGAAGGCTCCACAAATGGCTGCAACAATGCAGGAATTTAGCAAAGAGATGACTAAGGTTAGTACCTATAATGGTTTCCTTCTCTCATTATTATTATTGATCATATATGCTTATCGAGATATAGAGAAAAAAATTACACCTTTAAGCATTTTACATGTTCTCTGTTTGAAGATTCGGAGCTATGTTCACTGCTCTACATGTAGTATTTTTGTACATAATCAATCCTGAGTGTGTTCTTTGCTACTTTGATATGTGTAGGCTGGAGTTATTGAGGAGTTTGTGAATGAGGCCATTGACAATGCTCTAGATTCAGAGGATATGGAAGACGAGATCGATGAAGAGGTTGATAAAGTATTGACAGCAATTGCAGGAGAAACCGCTGCAGAGCTCCCAGAAGCTGTTAGAAAGGAAAGGATAAAGGTACCTGCGCAGAAGGCGAGCACTTCCCGCGAGGTAAGACTATTGAGTATTGAATGATTCCAAGAACATTACAAATATTTGACGCTTTTTAACTTGTGCAAGATTAGATTCTGAAAGAAAAAGTTGGGTTTCTTGTTTTGCAGGAAGAGGCAATTGCAGAGGGTGTTGATGATGAGGAAGAATTGGAGGAAATTCGAGCTCGGCTCGCAAAAGTTAGATCCTAACTCAGTCCAACGACTCTTTAAACGCTATTCTTGATTGATATGATCAACTTTTGATGAGAACAGAAGGCGATCACAGTGTATTGTATAATATAAATGAAAATACCATGCTTCGAAATACATGTAAACATCAGTTACCTATTTATTGTTAACGAAGTTTTTTCTTTTCTTTTCATGGCGATTTCATCCGAAACTCTTCCTCTTCCTTAATCTAAAAAAATATGGTTCAGTGTGTATTGTTTTTTTTTTCGGTTTAGGTTACATTTCTTAACATATTCCGGTGTAGGAAGAAACCGAAATGTGATCCCGTACATGTTTTTTGGTGATAAATGATGAAATATAATTAGTTTTTGCTAAATTATAAATGATGAAATATAACTATTGGCGATGTAGTAAATTTATCACTTGGTAGTTTTTGAATAATTCGAATAATTAGATTGTGATAGTGTATTTGTTTCTAGATCATACTTGCAAAACGAAAATTAAAAATATAGCAAAATTGACGTGGCAAGTTAAATTATGGGATCATTTGGTGGTATAAAATGACAAAATATAAGGCCGATGAATCATTCCCTAACTATGGTTGATAGCGAAGGTGATAGGGACGATAATATTTACTATATCATTCTCTTTGTTGAAAAAAGACTTTGACACAACACGTGGCATGATTAGTTTGATTTTGGTCAGATCAACTACAAAAGTAAACCATTCTTTCTTTTTCCCCGACCAAAACGTGAATTTAATTTAAATGTAAAATTTCATGGAATCTCAGTTTAAGAACACAATGGAGTAATGTTGTCATACGCAAATTTATATAGATCGAATCCGGAAATATAACAAAAACACGGAAATATAAGATTTACTAGTTCAACCAAAACCTCGGAGGGATGAGATCCCAGGTTTTCTTGTTATTGTTCCAACGATAAAATCCATAGTCTTTGACAACGATGGAACACGAGTCTTTGCAGTAATCTTTATCTGAATCGTACAAAACGAACCACATCCCGTAAGGTCCGGAATTTTTCTTAGTGTAAAACGTTCCTACACATTCCGTATGCGGCAACTGTGTAGATCCCTCCGCTTTTTCATTATCTCCGGCAATGCTTGGGATGTCTATCAACATCTTTTGACCCAAAGGTACGGATTTGGACAGCTCAGGGGTTGGGCGGCACGTGACGAAAACGGGAATATTAGAATGTGTTTGCATCTCGTTGGATACGAGAAGTGTGGCGGCACGTGCGCATCCAGACCCAGCAAAGAGCATTAGGGCCATGATGGATACCGTTATAAGTGTTGTATAAGCTTGAAGATTATGAAGATAACTTGAGATAAAAGTCTCTAGTTTTAAAAGGAGAGTTTAGATATTTTGAGATAAAGATTAGATTGTATTAGGAGTTATCTAATATATCTAATATGTTGTAATTTCTATTAGGGTTAGGAATTGTATTCTCCTATAAATAGAGGTCAAGTTATGACATTAGGGGATATGAGAGCTTTGTGTGTTTAGGGTTATGAATGTATGGTTTTGAGTCAGTTTCCATACTAATAAAAGAGAGAGTCTTTTACATCTTCATAGCCTTTGGTTATCTTGCTCTTTAAGGTTTTGATACAAGAATTGGTATCAGAGCTTGAGATCACGATCACGAGAAAACAGAGTTGATAACAGAGAACGATCACGAGAAGGTGATCCATAAGGAAACATGGGAGACTTGATTCCCGCGACTACCAAAGAAGGAGGAGGTTCCTCTTCTATTAAGTGCCCGATGTTAAATCCTACAAATTACACGTTTTGGACTATACGTATGACTATGGCACTCAAAGTTCATAAAGTTTGGGAGGCTATAGAACCTGGATCAGAGGATATTGACAAGAACAACATGGCTAGTGCTCTTCTTCTGCAATCTATCCCTGAAGCATTAACACTGCAAGTCGGGAAACTAAACACTGCAAAGAAGATATGGGATGCAATTAAATCTAGGAATCTAGGAGCTGATAGGGTTAAAGATGCAAGATTACAAACCCTAATGGGTGAGTTTGAGAGAATAAAGATGAAAGAAAGTGAGAAGATTGATGACTTTGCTGGTAGAATCTCAGAACTATCTACAAAATCTGAATCTCTTGGACATGACATCGAAGAACCAAAGCTTGTAAAGAAGTTTCTAAACGGATTACCTAGGAAAAGGTACATACATATAATAGCCGCACTTGAACAAGTTCTTGATTTAAACAACACTACGTTTGAAGATATAGTTGGAAGGATAAAAGCGTATGAGGAAAGAATCTGCGATGAAGAAGATAATCAAGAAGATCAAGGAAAACTAATGTATGTCAGTTCTGAGACACAACCATGGTACACAAACAGAGGAAGAGGACAAGGCGGCAGACGAGGAAGAGGAAGAGGTCGTTCTGGTTATCCTCAAAACAATGGTTACCAACAGAACAGAGATACAAGCAAAATAACATGTTACAGATGTGATAAGCTAGGTCACTATGCATCAGATTGCCCTGACAGACTGCTTAAACTTCAAGAAACACAAGAAGCCAATGCTTCAAAGAATGGTGACACACAAGTAGCTGATGCTCTAATGATGCATGAGGTTGTATATTTGAATGAAAAAAACTGTGTACCAAATAAGTTTGAAACCAGTTCAGACAATGAGAACATTTGGTACTTAGATAATGGTGCCAGCAACCATATGACAGGTATACTAGCTTATTTTTCTAAACTTGATGAATCAGTTACTGGCAAAGTCAGATTTGGTGATGATTCTCGAATCGATATCAAAGGAAAGGGTTCAATAACGTTCGTTGCAAAGAATGGAGAAAGAAGAATTCTACATGATGTCTACTACATCCCAGACTTAAGAAGTAACATTGTGAGTTTAGGTCAAGCCACTGAGTCAGGCTGTGATGTCAGAATGAAAGGCGATAATCTTACTCTTTATGACAAAGATGGCAAGCTTTTGGTTAAAGCACTAAGGTCTAGAAATCGACTCTACAAGGTAAGTTTAGAAGTTGAAAACAATAAGAGCCTACAAATTGGGATATCAAAATGCAAGTGGCATGCCAGGCTAGGACATATTGGAACAGAGACCTTAAAAACAATGGTGGAGAAAGAACTTGTCTTTGGGATCCCACAAATCAAAGTAGAGAAAGAAATATGTTCCTCTTGTCTACTTGGAAAGCAAACAAGAAAATCTTTTCCCAAAGCAACTTCTTTCAGAGCAGAAAATGTTTTGGATCTCATTCATGGGGATCTCTGTGGACCCATCACACCTCCTACACCATCAAAGAATCGATACATCTTTGTTTTAATTGATGATTACTCACGATACATGTGGACACTTCTACTGAGAGAAAAAGGTGAAGCCTTCAGAAAATTCAAAAGTTTTAAAGCATCTGTTGAACAAGAAACCAAGACCACTATCAAGACATTTCGAACTGACAGAGGTGGTGAATTTCTTTCGGCTGAATTTCAAGCATTTTGTAATGACTCTGGTATACAAAGGCACCTAACTGCACCATATTCTCCCCAACAAAACGGGGTCGTCGAGAGGAGAAACAGAACATTAATGGGAATGACCAGAAGCATTTTAAAACACATGAATGTCCCAAATTACTTGTGGGGGGAAGCAGTCAGACATGCAACATACATCATAAACAGAGTATCAACAAGAACACTGATACACCAGACTCCCTACGAAGCATTCAAAGGAAAAAAACCAAATATAGAACATATACGAGTCTTTGGCTGTATAGGCTATGCAAAAACAGAACCGGCTCATCTGAAGAAGCTTGATGATCGATCAAAAATGCTAGTGCATTTAGGAACTGAGCCAGGATCAAAAGCGTATCGATTGTTTGATCCAACAAAGCAAAAGATAATAGTAAGCAGAGATGTTATATTCGATGAGGAAACAAACTGGAAGTGGAATAATGTTGAGAAGGATACAAACTTTGAGATAAGCTTTGGAGAATTTGGGAACAATGGCATAAGAGAAAATACTACTGAAACAGAAACAGAGAATGATGAAGTTAATAAGAATAATGAACCAGAAGAAGAACATATCTCAACTATTGGAAACTCTGAAGATGATGAAGCAAGAGAACAACAACAACCAGGACCAACACTCAGAAGGTCAGGAAGAGAAACAAAGAAACCAGGCTATCTAGAAGACTATGTCTTATTAGCAGAGTATGAAAGTGAAAGACTGCTACTGGTTATTAATAAAGAGCCATGGGATTACAGTGAAGCAAAAGAATCTAAAGAATGGATAGATGCATGTGTAGAAGAGATCACCTCTATAGAAAAAAACAGAACATGGGATCTAGTAGATCTTCCTATAGATGCAAAGCCAATAGGCCTAAAATGGGTTTTTAAGATCAAGAGAAACGCTGATGGAAGCATAAATAAGTATAAAGCAAGACTAGTAGCTAAGGGATATGTGCAGAGACATGGCATTGACTTTGATGAAGTCTTCGCACCTGTAGCACGTCTTGAAACCATACGTTTCATTGTTGCTCTAGCTGCTTCCTACGGCTGGGAAGTACATCATCTTGATGTGAAAACGGCATTTCTTCATGGAGAATTGAAAGAGGTAGTCTACGTCACACAACCAGAAGGTTTTGTAGTAGAAGGAAGTCAGAACAAGGTGTACAAATTGAACAAAGCACTATATGGTCTTAAACAAGCTCCTAGAGCCTGGAACACAAAACTGAATACAATTCTCATAGAATTGGGTTTTGTTAAATGTTCAAAAGAGCCATCCATTTATCAGAAAAGGGAACAAGAAGAGCTCCTTGTTATAGCAGTCTATGTTGATGACTTACTTGTCACAGGATCCAACTTAGAGATGATACTAGAATTCAAGAAGGGAATGGCAAGAAAATTTGAAATGAGTGATCTAGGAAAGCTCACCTATTATCTTGGAATTGAAGTTACTCAAACTGAGAATGGTATTCTATTGAATCAAGAAAGGTATGCAAAGAAAATTCTTGAAGAAACTGGTTTTGGAGAATGTAATGCAGTACAGGTACCAATGTGTGCAAATCTGAAGTTAAGTAAAGCTCCAGAAGAAAAGAGAATTGATGAGAAAGAATATAGAAGAAGTATTGGATGTCTTAGATATTTACTCCATACAAGACCAGACCTATCTTATTGCGTTGGAGTTTTAAGCAGGTACATGCACGAACCAAAAGAGTCTCATGGAGCCGCTCTGAAACAAGTTCTCAGATACTTACAGGGAACTCAATCCTATGGACTTTGCTTTAACAGAGGAAACAAGACAGAACTAATAGGATTTAGTGACAGCAGTCATAATGTAGATGAAGATGATGGCAGAAGCACTACTGGTCACATTTTCTATCTTAATGACTGTCCCATTACATGGTGTTCACAAAAACAAGAAACTGTTGCACTTTCATCATGTGAAGCTGAATTTATGGCTGCTACTGAAGCTGCTAAACAGGCTATTTGGCTCCAAGAACTCTTACAAGAAGTTACAGAGAAGTATAGTGAAAAGGTTGTGATTCTTATTGACAATAAGTCAGCAATAGCTCTAACTAGGAACCCAGTGTTTCATGGCCGTAGCAAACACATCCACAAAAGGTATCATTTCATTCGGGAGTGCATTCAAAATGATTTGGTTGAAGTAGAGCATGTTCCCGGAGAAATTCAGAAAGCAGACATACTCACGAAAGCCCTCGGAAGAATCAGATTTAAAGAGATGAGAGATCTCATAGGAGTTCAAGATGTGAAGAAAATAAACTTCAAGCTTAAGGGGGAGATTGTTGTATAAGCTTGAAGATTATGAAGATAACTTGAGATAAAAGTCTCTAGTTTTAAAAGGAGAGTTTAGATATTTTGAGATAAAGATTAGATTGTATTAGGAGTTATCTAATATATCTAATATGTTGTAATTTCTATTAGGGTTAGGAATTGTATTCTCCTATAAATAGAGGTCAAGTTATGACATTAGGGGATATGAGAGCTTTGTGTGTTTAGGGTTATGAATGTATGGTTTTGAGTCAGTTTCCATACTAATAAAAGAGAGAGTCTTTTACATCTTCATAGCCTTTGGTTATCTTGCTCTTTAAGGTTTTGATACAAGAATAAGAGTGTCCATATATAATTTTGATTCGGTGTTGGAAAGTATATTGTCAAATTAAAATGTATCTCCCTTGGCCTTTCATATATGTGTCTGAGTGTCTCTATATATACACGATCTCGCTTCGGTTTCTCAAAATTGGAGCATTAACAATCTCTACGTTATACTTTTATCAAAGAAAAGAAAGAACAATCTCTACGTTATACGTGATGAATAGTTGAATATATACGGTTACAATTAGAGTTAAACAATTGCAGTTTGGAACATTTTTGTTTCTTCTTACAATAACCAATTCTTCTTACAATAACCAATAGATGATCCTAACTTTTACCACGAGACGACTAGTCCCCCAAGGAGATAGATTTTTTGTGTGTGTTTGCAATTAGAGAGAGAGAGAGAGAGAGAGGAAAATATAATTAAAGTTGTAATAGTCTGACTTGTGTTGTAACTTGTAAGAAAACAAAGTCCCTAATTAAACGAAACGCCCAAACCTAGTATGTATATCATTACTGCTAAGAGATTCGCTTGATGTGGTAAATTCATGGTTCCACGTAAATTTTATTTTGGTGAATTGGATTCTTTTTACTTGGTTTTTGGTTTCTAGGAGATGAATTAGATGTTTATATACACTACATCAAAATTTTAAAGAAACATTGTATTGACATTGAAGCAATTACATACTTTGATCATTATCGCATTTCTAACAAAGTGTAAAAGTTATAAGTAATGACTGGAAAACTAATTTGGCTAAACATTAATCAATTATAGTAAAAAAACAATTTTGTTTATATTAATTATAAGGTTTAGAATTTAAGTTTTAGGACTTAGGATTTAGCATTTGGAATTGAGACTTTAATTTTTTTTAATTTTTAGACTTTAAAATTTAGTTTTTTGGGTTTAGAACTTAGAATATTAAATTTGGGATTTGACTTTACAAGATTTGTTAACGTTTTGGGCTTTTAATTTTTTTGAATATTTTCTTATTTTTGATATAAATTTAGAATATTTTCATAAATTTTCTTTTTTGATAATTTGAGAAAAATTATACAGCTCATAAATAAAGAAATAAACAAATTTATATATTAAAAACACTTTTGGAAAGATATCTTCCATTTGTCTTTTCTGAACCCACTTTATTGCCAAGTCCTTATATACCTCCATTTCCACGCTACACCCAAATCTCGTACAAAGCAGAAAAAAGACAAAAATGGAGACCAAAACCAATTTTCTCCCTTTTCTCCTCATGATTTTCATCTTTTCTCAGTTTTCGCTCTCAACTTCTAAAAGGATCCTAAACAATCCCTCTGTTTTCTCACCGTCTCCGAGTTCGTCGAGCAGTAATGCAGAGAAACTTATAAAATCATTCAATCTAATGCCTAAGTATGACGTTAATGTCATCCCAAAAGGAAGCCCCGATGCTCCAAGACTCATTGAGAGACAAATTGATTTTCCAGCGACGATCGGTTCCCAAAACGCTTCAAAAGGTCCATCTGTTCAAGAGTTTGGCCACTACGCTGGTTATTACAGCCTTCCTCACTCCAAATCAGCCAAGTAAAGTTTTAAACGGTTCAAATTAATCCTAACAAAATAATGATTTGCTCTAATGGAGTTCAATTTAGTAGTTACTATAGACATGGATACGTTAAACCGATTCTGTTTTCTTTTATAATCTTATTGATTTTGGTTTTTGCAGGATGTTCTACTTCTTTTTTGAATCACGGAACAAAAATACCGATCCGGTTGTGATATGGTTAACCGGTGGACCGGGCTGCAGTAGCAGTGTCGCTATGTTCTACGAGAACGGTCCCTTCAAGCTCTCAGAGGATCTGTCTCTCACTTGGAACGATTTTGGATGGGACAAGGTAACTGGTTTAGTAGAAATAAAGTCTTTCTTGTCACCCAAGAAACATATCTATCTACAGCAAACATAGACAAATTCATTTCTTCTTAACTCTTGTTTTAATAGGTATCCAATCTGATCTACGTGGATCAGCCAATTGGGACCGGTTTCAGTTACACATCTGCCGAAAGCGATCTCCGGCATGACGAGGCTGGTGTCAGTAATGACCTTTATGATTTTTTACAGGTTTGATGGATGTTGGTCTTCCAAATTTTGTTTTCTGTATTGTTCTTTGAATTGTAGTGACTTGAGTTCTATCATTGAATTTTGGTAGGCTTTTTTTAAAGAGCATCCAAAATTCGTAAAGAACGATTTCTTTATTACCGGTGAATCTTACGCTGGTCACTACATTCCGGCTTTGGCTTCACGTGTTCACAGTGGAAACAAAAAGAAAGAAGGAATTCCAATCAACCTTAAGGTAAGTGACATTACTTACTGGTTTTGTTTTGGGGGAATTTTTAAACCAAATTTTCTTGTTTAATCTCGATTGAAATCAGGGTTTTGCGATTGGTAACGGTTTAACCAACCCCGAGATCCAATATGGTGCTTATGGGGATTATGCACTGCAAATGAAGTTGATTTCAGAGTCTGATCACGAGAGCATCAAGCAAGATTACGTTGAGTGTCAAAATTTAACCAAAAAATGCAGTAATTTCAATTAAAAACTCTTCTTCTCTATTTTCGTTAGATACATTGTTCGAGTTAAAAGATACTCCCTCCGTTTTCAAATAGTTGTCGTTGTAGAGAATTTTTTTTGTTTTTAATTAGTTGTCGTTTTCAGTTTTCGATGCAAAATTTATTACTTTTTTTATTTTTTATATTTATTTTTATTATGCAACTTGATTTACTATTGGTTAAATTATGTTTAGGTAGATAATTAATGATATTTTTATATTGAAAAACTAACAACATTAATAGTTTCTTAATTTGTGTGCATATAGTTAAAACGACAACTATTCGAAAACAGAGGGAGTATCATTTTTAAAGAAACTTATAATTTGTTAATATCAGATCTTGATGGTGGTTTAGCTTGTGATTCTGCTTTTGATGTTTGCAACAATATCTTCAACATGATAGCGGCAAAAAAGAGAGGCATAAATGTAAGCATATATTAAAAACCTACTATACAATTGATTGTGTTTTCTCAATAAATCTTCTTTTGTTTACAAGACTTCCTCGGTTGTTTTGAAGTATTATGACATTAGGAAGAAATGTGTGGGAAGCTTGTGTTATGACTTTTCGAAGATGGAAAATTTCTTGAACAAAGAAAACGTACGGAAAGCCTTAGGAGTTGGAGATATCGAATTTGTGTCTTGTAGTAGCACCGTTTATGATGCAATGACAGAGGATTGGATGATTAATCTTGAGGTCAAGATTCCGACTCTTGTCAACGATGGAATCAATCTTCTAATTTATGCGGGAGAATATGATCTCATTTGCAATTGGCTTGGTAAGATTGATTATAAGTTTTGGTTGCCATAGTTATTTTCTTATAAACATTTTATTTTGGTTTGGAATTGAAAAGTAGTAGGTCAAAAGCATATATAGTTTCATTTGTGCTATCGGTTTAGCTAAGCTTAGATTTTGGTTACATCCCGAATCAAATATGATATTTACTGGAGCTATAATTGTTACTATTTTGTTAGTGAGATGAAAATGGTTTTGTCTAGGTTTAGAGTTTTGAAGGGTTTGTATTATGGAGCGCAATAGTTTCACATTTTGGTATTTACTTGTTTATTCTTGTTCAACTAAGTTTAATTGATTAATTTTCTCGGGTATACAGGAAACTCGAGGTGGGTAGACCAAATGAATTGGTCAGGCCAAAAGGGTTTTGGATCAGCGAAAAACGTACCATTCTTAGTAGATGGTAAAGAAGCCGGTTCACTGAAAAATTATGGTCCTCTCACTTTTCTTAAGGTAAATAAAAAAAAAGTCGACGAACTAAACATATTATTAGTGTAATATAATTAAAACGGAACCTTTTGTTTTGAAGGTTCATGACGCTGGACACATGGTTCCGATGGATCAACCTAAGGCTTCTCTTCAAATGCTTCAGAATTGGATGCAAGGAAAGCTTAGCACTCCGAATGTTCGGGGATTTGGTCAATGATTCTAATGTATAGAACATTTGATTTCAAAATAATATGATATTATTAGCTTTCATCTACAACTAAATATGTCCTTGTAGTTTTAAAACTATTCTCGATGCTTAAGCTTAACCATGATTGATTATTTAGGGACTGTTGCCAGAACCTTATATTTCTCATCCTTTGAAATTTGTTGCCATAAACCCCAAAAATTTGTTAACGTCGCAGACTCATATTAAACTATCAAAACAATAACGTCAACCGATTCTTTGAAAAAAAACGTATAAAGTCTAGCTAAAGATGACTCATATTACCTTAGAATGAGCGATTCACTATCAACATCTTGCGGTTTACTTATACACTAACTAACACAATTGAACAATAAAAATACTCGAAATAATATAAAACTTTGAGCTAATGCGGAGATTCAATCCTAGTAAGTAAATCACTCATCAACTTAGATAGGAAATGCCAAAACAAAAAAAAAGGAGAATATGATTTAAATGAACATAAGTTTAAAACAAACAAAACACATATTAATCAAAACAAATCATAAATAGGTTCTTCCTTAACAATCTGATGATGTTGTAAAGTTTCAATGTCACTTGCTATGTTGTTATTGCCTCCATTTTCCTTTGCAACTCTCTCCTCTGGTTGGATGTTGCGAGAGTCCTCATGGATCATTTGGTTATGGTTAGTTTTACGTGATCTCTTTTTGTTCCTTGCATTATATCTCTTAAATTTCTCTTCGATGGTCTCATTTTTGTAGTGCATCGATGAAATATGTGCAGCAAACTTTTGTGAAGTATCAAACACACGGTTACATTTAGGACATGTATATGGACCATATTTTTTATATGGTAAGCTATGTGTCCGACCATCGTATTCACCATTTTCCTTAGAATCAAAATCATCAAAAGTTTCTTCAAAATGTTTGGTGGCTCCACAATGTTTCTTCACTGGTTGATGATAGGAAACATATTGGTGAGGATGGTGTTTTGGTGAAAAGGAAAACATGTCTAAATTCCTACGAAATACAGAAGTTTGATGCGGAAAAATGGTATTGAGAGGTGTAGGATTCAAGATCTCGGACTCTTTTTCAACAAAATTTGGAGGGTAAAGTGGAGAATTGAAGATGTTGGGATTCATGGCACGTTGATATTCATTTTGGGAAGTAATAAGATTATTGGTAGGAACAATAGCAGAATAGCTATTTTTGATAGTTTGAGTGATAGAGATCTGAGAAAGATGAGGGTTATTTGAGATTTTAGTTGTGGAAGGCATCCCAAAAGTAGAAACCATGTTTTTTCTCATATGATAAGACATATGTGAATTGCTGAAATCAAAAGAAGATGAAGAAACATGTGAATCTTGATAACAATTAAACGCACGAGAGGAAGAAAACAAACCATGATGGTTCGAGTGGTCAGAAGTATTGAACATTGACTGAACTATCTTAGACTCGTGATTCCTAAGGTTGGAACTCATTTCGATGGGAGTAAAACCACGAATATTCATAGTATCATCACCATAAGAGTACAAACCGTTTGGAATTGAAGTCATTTTGAAAATCGACAATGTGTATTTTACATTTTAACTATGTCGCCTTTTATACTGGTACGTACATATTAGTAAAGGAAACATAGAAATTCATAATAATAAAATACATTAAACACGAAGGGAAAAAAATCTAGCCCAAATTTATTATTTTGAATTATAATATATATTTTGATGCATATAATCTTCAATTATTCATTATTACTTTCTAACAAAATAAACTTCTATATGGATGATAATATTTTGATAAAGTAAAAAAATTTAGATTTCTTTTTATATATGCAATGATCTGGCAAACCTCTTATGTGTCCCATGCATGTTTTTGGACCACTAAATACTTGTTGACTCCACTTTTGTTCCACGTTTTAATTTTATGTTTGCATTTCAAAAAAGGTATCAACTTATTTTGCATTTAATAACCAGTTTTAAAATTACTATGAATTCAAAAATTCTTAACTATAGAAGTTTTATTTTCAAATTTTAAGCATCTTTTCATATATATTTCTAATATTGATGTATTTTTCCACCTCTTAGAAAGCATTTGGGATACAGTATAGTATATTTCCATGTAATTGTCTAATGATGTAATTCTAGTGGTCAGAAAATTTGAGAAACATGATGCCTTACACTTTATATTTTTTCTTTTTATATATATTCTGAAGATAAAATATTTTAAATTGTGTAGGTCGAAGATTGGTTTTGTTTATGAAGTAAGTTGAGGTTTGTTTTGATGAATTTATGTTTACAGTATGATTCATGTTTTAGACAATTTTATGTAGATTTATGATTATTATTTTTAACTTTTTAATAAGATAGTAACATATTAGATATAATTAATACACCACTATGTCGAGATTTTTTTTCTTCTTCCAATATTTATTTAATATTTACCATCAACATTGTTTTCAGTGTAATAAGTTTGATATGAAATATATGGAAATTTATATATAATATTTAGATAAATTTATTTATTAATAATATAATTTAGATGTATATATATATGTATGATGACAAAAAAATATATATATATGTATATTTATTTAATTTTCTAAGTATTAGATATAATCTAATTCATTTAATAATTTTAAAAAAGGAAAATGAAAAAGATAAAACTAAATATTTGATTGGGTAAAAATAAACAATATTTTTTCTTGTGGGATATATTTTTCTTATCGGCTCTCTCTTTAAGCAAAAAAATAATAAAATACTATATTTGAGATAATTTAGTTACCTATTCAAATATAAATTAAACTATATGATTGGGTCAAATTTACCCTTTTCATGAAATCTCTTTCCACATATAAAAAGTAAAGATATATACTGCTGGAATAAAATTATGAATGTCTATTTGTAAGAGTGGGTATTAGGTAACAAATTTGATAACAGGTTGAAATTTTCAGTGTATTCGGAAGAATTTAAGAGCGATAAGAATGAATTTTCAAGATTCTTTTTATCTTCAATCCTTCGAAATGCAAATGTAAAAGCGGATAATTTGACACGAAAAGTTTGTACCGATCCGCATCATATCACTTATGTAAACAATATTCCTCAAAAATAGCTATTTTGAGTTTTAATTAAAAGTTTTTGAAAAAAAAAATTGAAAATCTCTGTATACTCTTAACATATAAAGTAATACATAACAGCCTGGAAAAAAACTTAGTAAATGTCCACTTTAGTTTGCCAACCGTTGAGGAAAAACAGAGTTATGTACACTTAGAGTCAAACTAGAAAAAGACTCTTGTCTTTTTGGTATTCATCATCCAATCACTCATAGTTTGACTCGCTATAATCTAAATTAATTGTTTAATTTCAATAAAATATAAATCGATTCTCTTTGTGTCAACAAATATATAGTAGTATAAATTATTTTACTGCCCCTTTCACGCATATAAGAAATGAGTAGTTATTTTTTTGAATAATTCATATGGATGCAATTATAATATTGATTAGAAAAAATACCATAATTGCCTGTCTAAGAGGTGACGAATGAGAAATATTCAATGATACTAATAATTTATGCCTTTATGGTGCAAAAATGTTTAAAAGCAATAATGAGTATATTTGTTTCTTTATTAATTGCGTCTGGAACACCAACGAGACAATACTGTTTTCTCTCCATATCGTCATGAGATGCATTAAACATTACCACTGAAGGCCACTCGAGATTTTGTTCACCACCAAGTTTTCTAGATTTTTTTTTTTTTTAAAACAAAATGTTTGGGTCGAAATCCACATAATTTATGAAAATCGTAGAATATCATTATCTTTTGCAAAGTTTATAGTAGACAACGACAACGTGGATATAATAGAAAAATAATTTGTTAGCGTGCAATTATACGTTATAATAGCTTTTCTATGAAGAAAATATTTAAATATCAATGCAAATGACTATGATATACTCAATAAGAAAATCAAATTCAAATTTTTTAATTAGAAATATATAAGAACATGGGAGTCTCTCATTAAGTCTCTTATCCATATAAAATTATAAAATATCGAAAAGGTAAGAAAGAAAATAAAGTGAGTCTCTCATTTGAGAGATTTTGAGAACATATAGAGAGACTCATATGACACATGTCTAAATATAACTAATTATGAATTTTATTTATAGTTTAAATTTTAAATTAAAAAATAAATTATATAAAAGTTATCAAACTAATATATTTGAGAGACTAAGAAAAAAGTTCTCCCACTGCACATGTCCTAAGTGAAAATATGATTGCTATCAAAATTTTGGATCATATGATAGAAAACGATTCCAAAGACATGCTCACTATTAGGCCTGGGCGTTCGGTTATCGGATCGGTTTTTTCGGATTTCGGTTTTTTTGGATATAGATTCTAATATCCATACGGATAATTATAGAATTCAGATCAGTTTCGGTTTGGATATTTCGGGTTTCGGATCGGTATAGATATAATATTCAATATCCGATTTAACAAAAAAATATAAAAATAATCCGAACAATCCGAAAACCGCAAAACAAAATTGAAGTAATTAGTTGAACTAACATGAAACCATAGCAAACCATAGAGTTTCGAAACCAATGTGAGACATAAAACCATACTAATACATCAAAGTTTTAGAATGAAGGTAAACCATAACATCCTAAAGAGTAAAGAAGTAGAAAAATCAAGATTAGGGAAGTGGATCCCGTATTACTAGGGAAATCGAAATAAGGAAAGTTGATCTCGTATTGCTAGGGACTAGGGTTCTAGAAGAGAGTTCGGATGTGTTCGGATACCCATCGGATATCGGATCGGATCGGATATTATCCGATATCCGAAGGATGTAAAAATCAATAACCGATCGGCTATTCTCTCGGATGCGGTTCGGATTTACATTTTTTATATGAATACTTTTTACATTAAAAGAGCATAATATTGAGAAAACTAATTATAAAGGTGGATTTGAACATCTACTTGTGAGAGTTTCGATTTGATATATTATATATGAGCCTATTATATATCTAATTTATAAATGTTATGGTGGTGATGGCAATGGGTTATACTGCATATTATTTTTGATTCACGAGATTAACTTGCATTGGAGATGGAGGGTAAACTTGCCAAAAATGGCGACTTGCAAGATTTTTTTGAAGAAAACTCATTAATTTTTAAATTTATTTGATTACTACAATTTTGGATTAGTATTTATTTTTTTCAATTAAATTTTAATAATTACTTACATATCAACCTAATATCTACCTTGTTTTGCTCTTGTGAATTTGAAGATATTTAAACCCTTTTTAAAATCTATCATACAAGACTAGATAACATTTCAACATTTCTACCACGCATTTTCTCAGTTGACGCAAGTTTATCTCTCCTCTACTAGCTTGACTAGTTTAAACGTAGCGGTTGCGGTTGCGATTGTGGAAGTTTGCAGAAGCGGGCGGTTGCGGTTTCAAGCGTTATTTAGCGTTTTGACCGATTGGTTTAACGGTTGAAAACATGTGCGTTTCCGAAAGATTTACGACTGGTTGATCAGCGGGTACAAAAGCGGTTAAACCAAAATTAATAAATTTAATATATGATTAGAAAAAGTATTAAAACACCCAAAACTATCAGTATTAAAAAGTATAAAAATTTTAAACATGATTAATGTTAAAAAACCATAAATAATTTTTCAAATAAATTTTATATTGAAAACAAAAATAATTATTAATATTAGAAAATAAAAATGAGATAATTATTATTTTTTTAGAATTAACGTGAATATATATAAGACTTGATAATATATATATTAATTTATTCATTTTTTTTTTAGTTTCTTATTTTTTTTAAACCAACCGCAACCGCCCGCAATCGCAAACGCTTGCGGGAAGGAGCTTTCGAAATCTAGCGATTTCGAGTGGTTCAAAGCGGTATGGAACGGTTTCTATGATTGGTACCAACTGCTAACAACCGCAACCGACCGCTAACAACCGCTAGACGGATGCTAGCGGGAGAACCAATCAAGCCCTAAAGCACTAATTGATTGCATAATGCGCAACCGTCTAAGCTCCTTCTCGTCGGAGGATCCATTAGACAGAATCTCTCTCATTGGTTTCTACTTTGGTTGTATCAATGGCCCATTTTAAGTGTGGCTTAACCTCATTTGTTTATATAAATGTTCCATTGCTCTCTTTGTATAAGAGCTAGGTGTGTTTTTGGGGTTTTGTTGTAAAATGTAAAAATTTTTATTTGGTATAAATCTTAACATTAAACCCCAAAAAAAAAGTTACCAGTTTGACAAAAAGAAAAAGTTACCATGAACCGATAATCTTATATAAGACTAAAAACGTAACTAACACATACATTTAAGTTCCCTTTGTAACACATGTAAATGTAATGTAGCAAATGTAAAGAGTACACCACGAATCAGGAAACTTTTGTTTGGCCATTTGTACCATAATAGTTAATACTTACACATATGTGGAAATGAGTGTGTGACTATTTCTGCGTGAATCAAATACATGTACCTTAAATGATGTAAACAGTAGATCTATCAATTGTACATCTATGGGATACATACTCATCGATGGGTCATTAGCTCTGAAGTTGATTAGTCGGTCCAAAAATACACCTGATCATCATGAAATTCATATATATATATATATATATTTATATGTTTGTGTGTGTAAAATCAATTAAAGATTTATTCATGCATGCAAGTGTCCATCAAAGTAGTACGAATGAACAATTATGAAGGGTTCTTTTGGCACTTTACTAAATGTAATAATGAACACAATATTGGCAAGTCAACTCGTGATGATAAATTTTTGGTTAATAGAAACAAAAATGAGTTTTTGTTTTGTTGTCACTTTATAATCAGACAGTTCCATATAGTTCACTGGTCCGTCCAATGCAGTCTCCTCTTCCAACATGTTTTCTTCCTTTTATCCGTGTAATATCATCACCACTTGGGGACTGTTTTTTTTTTTTCCTTTTTACTTTTGAAATTCATGATGAATACTAATTAAGTAGCTAGTTGATATGCATATTCATGAAAATACATTTGGACGAATGATCAAATCAAGAAACCTGCTGATAATTTTAGTTAATGACTTTTGTTCCGGATTTAAATATTTGCATTTCTCTTGATATTAATGATTCAATTTTAATTGTTTGGACCATGCGTTTGCTGACAACTTCGATTCATTTTGACAACTCTACAACTAATTTACATCTTAATAAGAATCAAAATGGAAGACAATCGTGTACCATATATACTTTAGCGGCAGCCCTTATATATTTGTTAAATCTCTAAATCCCATGTTTAATATTGTTGAATATATATATGAAATACGTACGTAGATGAAACTATTATATGTATTTGACGATAGAAGAATAGAGTGGGGAAAAAAAATATAAGACCCGATCATTATATCAGAATTCAAACTCTTTCACATTGATTTTAGTCAAATTTACTATTGAAATCCTCATAAACGTACAATAATCATCTAGAGAGATAAAGAAGGGTTTACCAAAACCAAAACAAACAAAAAAATCAAGAGCGGCCAAATAAACATATTTTTAACAGTTTGTTTTAATCTAATTTCATCAAAACGAAAAGAGAAAATGAATAATTGGAAAATTGGAAATCTATTTTTTCAAACAAGAAAAATAAATATGCATGCATGTCAATCATGTTGACTTCTCCACACCCATAGCTTTCGAGACAAAATGAAATATAAAACTATTGGTTCCCCAAATAATAATAATAATAATAATAATAATAATTGATACGATGTGTCCAGATCCAAGTCTCTCATTAAAAGGACACAAATTCAACCACTCCTCCATAAACACAAAAGGTCCATCCTAAAAAAAGGCAAGTAAGAGATAACCATTTCTCTCTTTTTTTTCTCTTCTTCGAACTTCAATTCACTAACGAGAGAAATGGGAAGAGCTCCATGTTGCGACAAGACAAAAGTGAAGCGAGGGCCTTGGTCGCCTGAGGAAGACTCTAAACTTAGAGATTACATCGAAAAGTATGGTAATGGTGGAAATTGGATCTCTCTCCCCCTTAAAGCCGGTAAGTTCATAAACATGTTCTTAGTTAAACTCAATTTTCTGGATCACCTTTTCGAGCTTCTAAGCCCAAACAAGTGCTTATGCCATTCTTTGTTGTGGTTTAAGGTTTGAGGAGATGTGGGAAGAGTTGTAGATTGAGGTGGCTAAACTATTTGAGACCAAACATAAAACATGGTGACTTCTCTGAGGAAGAAGACAGGATCATTTTTAGCCTCTTCGCTGCCATTGGAAGCAGGTTCTCTAATTAATTCCTTCTAAAATGATCTTCTTTAATTTCTATAAGACCCTTACTAAAAATGTAGAAGTGATATCAGTTTTTTGTCCACTTGCTTATGAAGGTCCCTTAAATAAATAGGTTGTAGAAAATATTATTCCACTCTCATTAAACTAATCTTGTAAGAAAATATTTTCTCCAAAATCTATTTTGAATTTATGAGTTATTTGGAACTAATGATCAAAATATTTCTAAACGTGCTTAATTTACACATAATTTTAGTCAAAACCACGAGCAACATTTATTCATAATTTAGTCAAAAACTACGAGTAACTTTAATTCATCAAGAGTGCAATATTTTTCTCCAATATTAACTACTATTCTACTAATATACATCAATTGAAACTTGTAGGTGGTCAATAATAGCAGCTCATCTACCGGGAAGAACAGACAACGACATCAAAAACTATTGGAACACAAAGCTAAGGAAGAAACTCTTGTCTTCTTCATCTTCTTCCTCTTATTCACCATCAGCCATGGCTTCTCATCTAAACCCTAATTCTCAGGATGTGAAAAGACCATTAACCCCATCAACCACAATCCCATCTTCTTCTTACAATCCGTATGCTGAAAACCCTAATCACTACCCAACAAAATCACTCATCTCCAGCATCAATGGCTTTGAAGCTGATGAAAAACAGATTTTTCCCTATATTAGCCCTAATTATCCTCAAGATCCCTCTCTCTCGGACAGCAGCAACAACACCTGGGAAGCAAGTGGTTTCTTGCTCAACCACAATATGTGTGATCACTACAACAACCACACCAGTTTTTCCTCAAACGTCAATGGGAAGAGATCAGAAATTATGATGAAGCAAGAAGAAACAATGATGATGATGATGATAGACCACCACATTGACCAGAGGACAAAAGGGTACAATGGGGATTTCACACAAGGGTATTATAACTACTACACTGGGCATGGGGATTTGAAGCAAATGATTAGTGGAACAGGCACTAATTCTAACATAAACATGGGTTGTTCAGGTTCATCTTCTAGTTCGATAAGCAACCTAGCTGAGAACAAAAGCAGTAGTAGCCTCCTACAACACAAGTGCTTGCCCTATTTCTACTCCTAGTTCTTATAGATCGTCTTATATAAATATATCTTGGACTGACTGTTAGTAATATCAAAGATTTGATGGGGTAAGGGAGGAGAGAGAATGAGATAGAGTGCGACTATGATCACTTTTATGGGATTTTGTATTTTTCTTTATTATTCTCTATATTGGATTTCTAGTTAAGAAGAGACAATGGGAGATTTAATTTGATGAAACCCAAAAGGATGTATTTATGGGTGAAGAGTAGATCTTCTTTTTTGTCGAGAAGAGTATATCATATCAGCTTTCAGTTGAAACTTTAAACCAAAGTATGTGATCTATATGCACACACGCCTTGACAATATATATTATACACACACTCCCCCCACACACACTGACACACACATATATATATATATATATATACATATATATATATATATAGCATTGTTATTGTTTCTAAAATTAGATAGGACTATCTACCATTTTATGTATATGCTATAAATAGCAAAGAAAATCATATATATACGTAATTGGAAGATATATATATATATATATATATATGTATGTATGTGAGTTTTATTGTTAACAACAAAATATGCTACAGAAAAAAACTTGGAAACTGAAATGTAAGATAGATAAATAATTTGTAACTAATGGTCTTTATATTTCATATGTAATGAGAGTTCTCTGGCTAGTGTATATAAAAAATTCACCAATTAAAAATCAAGTCGAACTATAATTAGTACGAAGATTTTAGAAAAGAAATTCAAAAACAAATTCCTTTAGAGTTGGCTATTTGGTCCAAAACAAACAATATCATATAAGAGGAAGAGTTGTTTAGATTCTTGTAAGTTATGCAATCACCCTTTAACGAAAAAAAAGTCTTCTAACAATCTTAACATTCTTCAAAAATATATATTCATCGAATTGAATCTCTAAGTCTCTTACCTGAAAAGATATATTCATCTACATTTGTATTTTTTTTTCTTAATCGAATGTAAAATAAATTTAAACCCAAATTAACGTTTTTGCAACATATGCAACGGGTGATTAACGAAATTTAAAGAAAATTAGACAAGAATTGAACCTAAAATTATTTATTTTGAAGTATTAACATGTATATAGTGATATACTAGTATAGTTCCAGTTAAGGACTGTAGAATGTCCGGTTTATAATTCAACTAAGATGTAATCTCGGTTCATTGTTTGGTTTAATGTGTTGTTGTATATAGGATATGTAACAAACTTTGATTCAATCTAATGAAAAAATATGAGTTTCATCAAAACACTAATATGGTATCAGAGCTTTTGTCGTTCAATTTCTCTGAAAAGCAAATCATCGCTACATGCCTCAATCATATCTTCTGTCTCCCATAGCTCTTATCGAAGATAAACAGTTCCGAGTTTGCTTGTCAATTATTTCAATCAGATTCTGCTCTAATTTTGCAGGCTCTCCATGATTTCTCTTGTTTCGTTCTTCCCAAATCGTATAGATCGTTGTCTAAAACACATAGCGCATTATCTTGTCTTATGAATTGTCTATTAGACAATCTCCAATATAATTTTCTATTTTATCTTTTTATAATAGAGATGGGTTTTAATCCAATGTATTTTTCTATTTTTTCGTCTAAAAAGTTTAACTAAATTATAGAGAAAAAATAGATCTTCTATATAAAAAAATAGAAAATAGAAGTAGGTTGGAATGAATTTTATTTTAAAATATAGTATAGAAACAAAAATAAAAATGAGTTGGAGATGCTCTTAACAGCTCGATAATATTATCCTAATCACAAGTGCCGTTTGTATTGTTAACACTCATTTTTTTTTTTTGAACAACATATTGTTAACACTCATCTATATTTTCTGTTATCGATGTAATTCCTAAAAAGAAAACACATTGAATTCAAACTCCACGAGATAAAGTTTTAAATGGGATAACTTGTAAGAAGTCTTTGTTTCCACTAGACTATCTATTCATTATAAAGAGTACACACTACAATATATATAGGCATCTATACAAATATATGTATTATTTGTTATTGTGTTGTTTGTATTCTATTTTCGAGAACCAGTCTAAAGTTTTGACAGGCCTAAATTAAATAACGAGCACAATGTAAGTAAACGAAATAGTTTTATTATTACTTAAGTATTTGTTAGAGTTATAGAGAGAGAGAGAGAGGGAAAGGATTGTATATAAAAGTCATCACCTTTGGTCAGTAACTCGAGCGGCCAGGAGAAATTGATTGATGGGAATACAGACACTATTCATCTGTTCAAAATGACATATATGCCCTTGCCAGATGTTCATCTTTTCCTTCAGCACATATCCTTCGATTACTATTGTTCTCTGTTTTTTCTTTTTAAGAAAATTTATTGAAACGAAGAAAAATTAAGGTAGGGGCAATAATGTTGGTCTGATAAAACGTTACGTATTAGTATGTATGAAAAAATAAATACAAATAATCGAATATATATTCTTTGAGACTTTCTAAAAAAGTTAAACGTTTAACTTAGTTTTAATTAGTAGAGATCATATTCATCTAAAAAAATCATATTCATCTAAACATTTAAGCGAACGGAAGAGTTGAAATGAAATGGAGGGATGACACCAGGCTCAAGATCTCTCTCTCTCTCTCTCATATGGCTAAGAACCGTTGCGGTATTAGTGGACCGTTAGTTTGTGGTGATGACACCTTTTCATGGGCCGATATGTTAAGCTTTGGCCCACAATAGAATTGGGACATAAAATCCCATAGGCCCTTTGTATGGATATTGTTCATCTCACAGTCTCACTACATTTTCAAATTATACAAGACTGACATCTCGTTAGTAATATTAGTAGAGAGATCAAACATCATCCAAACTGATGAAAGTAAGAATACAAAAGTATTAAAAATATATATATATGAGACTTTTATAAGAATACTATTACATAATACATCGATGTATAAAGATAAAGACTAAATCTAATTTTTTAAAATTAAGATATATTTTTTAAAAAATGTAAATAATATTTTTACAGATAAAAATAAATATCCTAACAATTTTTATCAAACATATTGGGACATTGTTGGCCCGCAAATGGTTGAAGAGGTGCAACAATTTTTTCAATCTGGTGTACTTCCATCTGAATGGAACTTTACACATATTTGTTTGATCCCAAAAAAGGTTAATCCTTCAAGAATGACTGATTTACGGCCTATAAGCTTATGTTTGGTGATTTATAAGATTGTATCGAAGGTTTTATGTGCGCGCCTTAAGGTTTTTCTACCTAGTTTAATCTCAGCAACTCAAGGCGCCTTTGTTTCTGGAAGACTCATCTCTGATAATATCCTACTAGCCCACGAAATGGTCCATGCGTTGATAACAAATGCACATTGTGACGAGGATTTCATAGCCATCAAAACCGATATGTCAAAGGCTTATGATAGAGTGGAATGGAATTTCTTAGAAGAGTTGCTTCTCCGGCTTGGCTTTAATATTACCTGGATACAATGGATAATGAGCTGCGTTAAATCGGTCTCCTATTCGGTACTCCTCAATGGCTCCTCTTATGGTTTTATTAAACCAGAAAGAGGTATCCGTCAAGGAGACCCGCTTTCACCATTTCTTTTCATTCTATGTGCTGAAGCGTTAGTACATATAATGAATAAGTCTGAACATGAAGGCCGATTAACAGGAATGCGTCTAACACCAAGCTGCCCGTCGATACAACACCTTCTATTTGCGGATGACAGTTTGTTTCTTTGCCAAGCTACCTTCAAAGAATGCTCTGAATTTAAGCGCTGTCTCTTACTCTACGAAAAAGCATCAGGGCAAATGATCAATTTTAATAAATCTGCTATAACGTTTGGGAGGAAGCTTGACCCATATATGAAGCAGCTCATACGTGATTTTACCGGTATTGAGCAGGAAGGTGGTACTGGTAAATACTTAGGTCTCCCGGAATGCTTTAGTGGATCAAAGAGCGCACTTCTTGGGTATATTAGTGATCGCTTGAAATCAAGATTAAGCGGATGGTATGAGAAAACTCTTTCATTGGGAGGGAAGGAAGTTCTTATTAAATCTGTGGCTTTAGCATTACCGGTCTATGCTATGTCTTGTTTCCGATTGACTAAGTATCAATGTCAGCAAATTACAAGTGCGATGTCAAGCTTTTGGTGGAATGCGAGTGAAGACAAACATAAGATGCATTGGGTTTCTTGGGAAAAAATCTGCAAGTCTAAGACAAATGGTGGCTTGGGGTTTAGAGATATAGGTCGTTTTAACCAAGCCCTCCTAGCGAAGCAAGCTTGGCGCCTCCTTGATGACCCGCAGTCACTGTTCTCTAGAGTATACAAGGCTAAATATTTCTCGAATAAGAGTTTCTTGGAAGCTAAGATTGCCTATAGACCCTCTTATGCATGGAGAAGTATTTTATTCGGCCGAGAACTTCTTGAAAGAGGTCTCATGAAGACCATTGGAGATGGCCAGAACACAAGCGTGTGGGTAGATAAATGGATCTTAGACACTTTTCCTAGAAGACCGATAAACAAAGATCTAATGATGGATTTGAATCTTAAGGTATCTTCCTTGATAACAACACAAGGTGAATGGAATGTTCTACGGCTTGCAGAACTGTTTCCTCCCGATGATGTCACCCACATTAGATCATTCCCTCCAGAGGTTAGTGTACCGGATAGATGTGTATGGGCTTACACAAAGGATGGCAAGTATTCAGTCAAGAGTGGTAATTGGGTTCTAACGAGGGAAGCAAGTTTACTGGAGATTGTGACGGCGGACGCTCAAGCCATTAATAAGACCAAAGAAAGAGTCTGGAAGATTGCCACTGCTCCAAAAATTAGATTATTTTTCTGGAGAGCATTATCTGGTGCTTTGGCAATTGCAGATTGTTTGCGAACTCATGGCGTCGCTGTTAACCCGGGCTGCCAACTTTGTGGAAATGGGAATGAAACAATTTCTCATGTCTTGTTTGATTGCACCTTGGCTCAAAATGTCTGGCTCATCACAGGCCTTCCTAGGTGGTCCCAGGGCTCGACGTTTTCCATTCATGAACAGGTTGATTATATTTT